TATTCTAGAGATTTGCAATTTTACAAAACTGCATGAAAGGTCCAAGTTAAAATCATGTATTTATTATTATGCGGTGTACCGCGGGTCAATCCCTAAACTTTAAAAATGATTCATAGTATAATATTTATACATATATATATGTCACATATTGTTCTAAAATTAACAATCCAACTAAAATCATACAATTTAAATAATTTTGAACATATTTGAAACCAACACAAAAAATACAATCTAAAAATGATAGAATTTAATTAATAATCAAAATAAAGTAAAGCAAACACAAATAAATTATCTCGCAACGTACAAAGGATTAAAAATCCGGTAATTTTCCCCCGCGCTGTAGCGCGGGTCCGAATCTAGTAGTAATAATAAAAGCCATGCATGAAACTATTTTGAATGTTTTCTATGAAAAGTCTTCGATAAAATGGATGGCCAACAAAAGGAAGTATATACAAAAACTCATGCGTATAAGACAAAGTATGAACCTCAAAATATTCATAGAAAAAGACGTAAAAGTAGATGTTGAAACTCAAAAATAGATATAGATTATAAGAATTAATCACAAGTTCACTGCAAACACTTAAAATACTGTAATGATGTAATTAAGTAGTAATATCACCCTAAAGGAAGAAACATTCATGCAACACATTTAGATTTCAAAGAGATGGACATGGACTCGATTATACACTTCTAGTGCGTCTCTTTTAAAATTTCTTCCTAAGATTAATTTGCAACCATTTGCAAGTTATAAACATGTGAGAAACAGTTTTGCTTGCTTACTCTTTCCTCAACTTCACAATCTATTCCAACTTGGCCAGAGAGTATCTTCATAATCAAGTTGTATGCTTCTCCAAACATTTGATAGGTTCAGTAACCATTATGTTCTGTAAGATTATTTCACACCATAATATTTGAATTGGATACTATAAACGGGTTTTATGTTTATGTATATCTTTTTTTCTTTTTCTTTTTGGGTTCCTCAATCATCACTTGTTATTAAAGTAAAACTTATATCAATATAGTTTTTAATAACCTTGGAGAACTGAAACTCATTCAACATGCAGAAAGAAAAGAAAAAGTCTCAATTATTTTAGTAATAGATTTGGAGAATTGGTCTTTTGGTAAGAGTGTTAATAGATAGATATAGTCAATGATAAACTATACTCATGCCGTCTCATTTTAATTGTTGTTCAAAGTTGAATTGGGCATATAATATTTAAGAAATCATTTATTTTTAAGACTTAAAATAAACATAAAAAAAGCAGAATCAATGTTTTCATAAACTCTAGTATACGCAGTTAAATACTGATCCGGTTCTTATATGTAAATTACAACACATAATAAAATACATTATCTACTTAATCCTATTTTTCATTATAAGTTACAAATAACCATGAAGCTTATCACACAGGTGAAGCAGACAGCAGAAACTCAGGCTGCTTTCTCTGCAAGAGAATTCCACAGAAGAGGCAGAACGGTTTCGAGGCAACATTGCTAAAGGAAGATTCGGGAAGCGACTTGAGATCATTCGGGAACGAAGGCAATGCAAATAAGTTCTCTGGAGCGAGTTTTAAGGTCATTCGGTTGCAGCATTTGCAGAACCATAAAGGAGTTGGTGGACATACTTGCATTGAGACAGAACACCTCTCAAGCTTGTGGCTTTGATCATATCTCTCTTTTCCTTTGCTCTTCTTCTTGTTTTGGTGTGGAGATTCGCAAAAGGCTTCCTCTGGTGAGTGGAAATTTACTGGCGCTGTGCAATAAGGACATTTCTCTTCCTCTACTGCAGTTTCCGTGCTACTACTTGATCTGTGATGAATTAGAAACATATAAGATATTAATCTGAATCTGAAGCATTCTAGTATCTATTATTACGAGAAGAAGAAGGTACGTGAGATAATTACCTTATTAGACTAGATTTCACTTCTGAGGAAAGTGTTACTAGCTGACTATGGACCATGTCATGATTTATCTCAACCCATTGTTGCAACTGAGCCAATCCAGCTGGACGCCAATTCCAAGTAGAAGGTGAAACAGTACCATGAGATGAGTCCGCTATTAGATAAGCCGAGAAACTGAGACCAACCAGTCTTTCTCTAAGTTCTCGTTCGCTTTCCTCAAGGAGTTTGAGCCACAGACCAATCTCCTCTTCATTGTTCGTTTTCTGACCTTGCAGTTTTCTGTTGATTTCTTCCGTTTTGAGCTCTGATAACATTACACGTCTGGAGATTACGTTGAGAATGTGTAACAGCCTGGAAGGGACAGCAGAAATGCGTTTGGAGATCTTTGGCACGAGATCTTCCATGGGGATATCAGCGTGAAATCCAAGGTATGACACAGAGAGCCATTTGGTTAATACCAATTCAACAAACTCTGGCATTGATTGTTTGAACGCTAGCATTGCAGCTATCATATCCCAAAGAACTAGAGGCTTATTCAAATATTTGAATTCTTTCAACGACCAGAGAAAATTAGTTTCCCAATATGCAAATTCGTTCTTTGAGAAACCCAGAATAGCTTCCGTTACCATCTCTGAAGAATCTTCGGACTCACCGGATTGTTGTGCACCATTCCAGAGGAATTCTACAGCAGCCTTTTGCGACCTGAAGTCAAGAAAGAATGAAAAGTCAGGTTTTGTAACGAGATAGACACAGAAACACTACTTAGCAAATGAAAATTACCTGGCTTGGTACATCGGATTCAAGAGTTCAACGTTGAAGCTGCGTACCTGCAAAATTTCAAGAGAAATCTTAGTTTTCTAATTTTGAAAAACGGTGTTAGCTTAAAGACAGGGCAACCCAGGTTTCTGGGATGATCATACCAAAGCAACAGCAAGGTTTCCAGGGGACAATGCCACACCAAGGCATGATAGGAAATCATCAGGAAGCTGCAGATTTTTTTCATAGTTTGTAAGAGTAAGGGGAAAAAAGAGTCAATATTAAAAACATCAAATCGTGACGTACATCAGTCATGCTACTGAGTCCAGGAGTGTTTGCAGGAATTGGCACTTCAGAGATGGCATTCTCACATAAAATCCAGTTCCGGACATAATTATCCTGCATATTACAAAACAGTAGTGAAGCCAATAGCTAAGAACGAATATGACAGTAATTGATAAGTCGCAATTTAGCTCCTAGCTTAGCTGTTTGGGGAAAAAATCATGTTTGTTTGTCTCTCAGAAGACAAGCAGTACAAAAGTTGTTTTTGCATAGAAGAAATATAATACCTGACTGCAACTGTACAAACAACGGCCATCATATGACCAAGCTAGACCTGTAACCTAAAAAGAGTGACATAATGTATCAATAAATGGAACATTTATATTGTGTTTTATAAAAAAGGTTTATAGAACAGAGTAATGACTTACCACTTGATTATGAGCATTACTTGAAAAAATTTGTTCAAACTTTCTTGTAGATATTTCACACTTCCATACTTCGAAAGAACCAGATCCTTTGCCGATTGCCAAGTGCATTGCATTATAATGGTTTCTTACAACAAAAGAAAGCGTTGAAACCTGAACATGATTCACCGCTATAACCTACAAATAAGCCGAAAAATGTCAAAACACAAAACTCTTACTGTTTGCTTGACGAAAAGAGCCTATACACTTGAATAAAATGCAATTAAAAACGTAAACCGGACTGAACCTGACAGTTTCATAAACAAGGAAATTGATACATATGGAGTCAAAAGCACAAGGATCTACAGACACAAAACATAATATAAATCAAACTTGCAGAACTACAAAACAGATCATAATCAAAAGTCAGGATGGTCTCAATCACAATCAACTCAGATATCATAGAAGCTATACTCAACCTGTTCCTAGTCAGAATATCAGACAAAGTAGAGAGTATATAGAAGAAATATTTTTTTTTACCTGTTTCAATAGAAAGAATGAAGATTTATAAACATCCACAGAATTTTGCAAGTCTTCTTTGTTACTCATCCAAATTTTTACACTGCAGACAGTGTGGAAGAAATGGACTGAAAAGTGTTATAAAAAATGATTGCATTGAGAAGCTTATGCAAATGAATGGACACTATAAAGGCTTATTTCCAAGAGTGAGAATTTTCAAAGAATTTCTAACACTTAGCAAATCACTGATTAGTTTTTTGTTATGGTTTACAACTACCATTTTATTCTTGTAATATAACTGTAACTTACCTACCATCGCAACTTCCAGTAACCAACAGCATTTGCGGATTCGAAGAATCACAGCCAAAACTTCCCCAAGTCATAGTTGAAACCCATGAGCTATGGGCCTGAGTTATTGCAGCAAGTTCCACGATGGGAGGTACATCGCTACGTTCAATGTCATAGCATTCGGGTGCATGAACTTTCCATATGGAAACACTACCAGACTTTGAGCCAATTGCCAAAAGAGAGAATTTTAACATATTCTCACATGGACTTTCTGATGAAAATCTTAGTAGAGATGACCAGGCGACGGAAAGGGAGGATAATGATGCCTCACGAGAAACATACGTTTCTGGACTTATCTCTTCACTGCACTTTTTTGGAGCTTTACGCAAAGAACGACAATCTTGGCCATTGCTTTCCTGTTCATATACTTCAATCTCAAGGACCTGGGAACATAATGAATCTAGTTAGATATGAGTACCATGCGACGATTTGATAGTTACTAGATGAAACTTAAGTTAGAGAGTGTCAAAACGTCTAAGAACCATATGGTATGAATGATGCGTTAAAGGATTTAAGCATGAAAAAATTTGAAATGCATAACATCAATGACTATAAAATATAGAACAACACACATGTTACTTCTAAAAGAACACTGGAGGGAGTTACAAAGCATACTCAATATATTAATATATGAAATGACCTTGTTTTCTGTTAATTACTAATCCTAGCAAACAAGAGTTTCCACAAAAGCAAAGGATAAGATACAATCTGCAGGAACAGAGTTAGGATCTGAAACTTGTTTCAGAAAAAACCAAAAAGATAACAGAAGTAAGTTGGAGGAATAATGATAGATTTTAAACCCAAAGATATACACTACGACAGAAAGAAGTTAGTGAAGAGATATGAGGCTATACATTATGCTCTGCTTGACTGTCTTCCTTGGAACATGATCCTCGATCTGTATAATTCTTTTCATGCAAGTTGCTAGAAAAAAGTCACAGATGAAAGTAAGTCAGTAAAGTGATCAAAACAGATAAAGAATATGGACAGAAATTTCTCAAACTACTACTATGCATCTGAGGACATTTTAAGAGTGACAAAAAAGTCTCTTTACCTGTTGTTTGTGCTTGTTTTTCTTCGCTTACGTGCCTTCAGACTTGAAATCCTTTCATCCTCTTCATTGTGATGTAGTACCACTTCCTGTGACAAATGAGCACAGACCATTTCAATCATATAGTTTATTGGTTTGAAATAATATGCATGATGAATCAATAATATAAATCCAAATATAGTTCGCGAGAGTAGTAAGTTGTCTTTCATGGTGATAAAATTTACTGAAAAGTGGTTAAATATGAGATACTCGTTACCTTAGATGATGAAGTAGAAGGACTGTTGGACTCTCCAAACTTCATGCTTGATAGATTCTCATAAAGCATTTTAGATACATCAAAAATCTGCGAAAGAGAGGAAAACATCTGTAATGCACAAGCTAGTAATTGTTAAAGGCAAAAGAAAATTTACAACCTACCTCAATCCACTCAGCACAGAAATCAGAATATGGAGGTCTGTATAGCTTAACCCTTCCTTCTGCTGTGCAAACAGCCAGTAAGCACCTGACAAGAGTTATTTAAATCCCCCAATTTAGGGAATAGAGACTAAACAAAACTGAACATGTTACAAGAAACTCAATAAATAAGTGTAATACCCGTGGTTTGGAGACATTCCTATCTCAGACCATGAGAGAGATCGAACACAGGGATGTCTTTCCCGTTTCAAACTCGAAGGCAAGAGTCCACCAGTCAGCAAATCTACAAACACATCATCACTTAAACAGTTACCGAAACTGTGAATGATCGAAAACACAGAAACCAACAAACAAACAACTTCATGAAGAAGTATGAATCTTCCTGAGCACTAAACAGAGGCCAAATATTGAATTTTTATTTGCAAATCTGAACTGGCACATATAAAGGAAGGATTTTTGAAATTTTATCTGAATTCCCACTAAACAGTACATCAAAGTTCTGTAAATTAGACGACCAAAAAAACAAACCTTGATGGCGTACACGGCCAATCTGATAAGGCTCAGCATCAGGGATTGTGATCAATCCACGGGGTCCAGTCGGCAAAGCCGGATTCTGTCAATTAAACAAGTCCTCAATACAATATTTTTTAATAAAAAGACTCAAACTTTAACCTCAAAACGAGAGCAGAAGAACAAACTTACAATGATGATGACGAGGTGACCAGCAGCGACGGCGATGAGATTTTCCGATGACCAAGCGATGGCGTTAGGATACGATGGTGAAGTAACCAGTGAAGTTTCCTGGAACCGCGACGCCATCAAATTGACGAAGAACCTCGTCCCAGATCTGTCGGAAAACTCAACTGAATTTTGGAGGGAAAAGAACTTGCTATGCTTTGCTTAGCCTTTTGCTTTGTTTTGACAAACGAACTGATGAAAATTTTGATTCCAGTACGGAAACCCTAGTTCGAATCGCAGTGACGACGCAGATGTGATCCTCTTTATTTTTTTTTATTTTTTATTTTATTTTCGGGATTTAATTCAAAAGTCAACACTCAACGTGCGTATTAATTATTTCTGTGACTGCAAAAACGGTTTAATAGATGGGCTAAGCCCAAATCGATTAAGTCCACGAGAGATGATCCAACATGGAGATCCGAGTTCGAACCATTGTGAAGGCAAAAAAATCCTTAAAATCTTCAGAAAACGTTGTCGTTTAGGTTTAGCGACAGGCCTAAATTTGTAAAAACTTGAAAATTAAGGGTTTTTGAAGCCGCCAGAAAAAATATTCGCCGTCTCCCGTCGCCGATGTCGGGAAACAATAAAACTTAAGCAATCTTCCACAAGTCCTGTCTTTTTTTTTTCGGTGAGTATTAAAGTTTCTGAATTTACAATTTTTCAATTCACGAACGTTTTTTTCTAAATTTCCGCCGGAAAAAGGCAACCCAATGAATCACGTATAAGTGAACATTAATAGGAATTTATATATATATATATAACTAATAAGCCCTTTGATTGCATTGGGATTGTGTTTATATGTGTTGTTTCTTGTTTACAGAAAAAGGTAACACTAGAAAGAAACAATGGGAATCATAGAAGACGGTACAATCTCAGGTACCTTGCCAAGCAAGGAGGCGTTTGTATTACACTTCCCTGGCTACCCATCTTCTATTTCCAAAGCCATTGAAACCCTTGGAGGAATCCAGGGAATTACACAGGTAAATCTCTTAATTTTTTTTCTAAAGGCTCTTCCTTTTCACTGAAATTGTCTTCAAATGCTAGTTAGAGCTATTCCGTAGTCTATTTGCTGTTATAGTCTTGAGTATATGCATCCATATAGCTCTAATCAACAGAAGATTTCAGATTTTTCTTGGTTAGTAATAAGCTTTTGTTAAAGTGTTGCACGAATTATTCAGTTTTGAGTCTTTTTTTAATGGGTAGGCAAGGGAATCAATTTCAAACAAGCTTGAACTGCGTTTCCGGCCTGAGGATCCTTATGCACATCCTGTATTGGGTGAACAACGTCCTTGCAATGGTTTTTTGTTAAGAATTTCTAAGCAGGATATCAAAAAGTCTGAGAGCCAACCAGTTCTTGCCACTAGTGATGTATGTTCAGAGGAAGCTAGTCCAGCTTTATGTGCAGATATTGTAGCTCATGTGTCTGAATCGTTTCACTTTGATGGTAACAGCTTACATCTCTTCTTTTTCTTGGTTCTTATGCATCTGAAATTTGTCTTATATGAGAGTTAGTTGACTTGATATCTTACTGTTTCAATATTTCTCTCCTCTTATTCATTTTCTAGGCATGGCTGACTATCAACATGTTATTCCTATTCACGCTGATATTGCGCAGCAGAAAAAGAGAAAGTGGATGGAGATGGATTCCCTTACAGGTGACTCTTGCATTTTAGTTTGTCCTTAACTATATATGTTTCGAATATCTAGTATAATCACCCAATTATATTGGATATATGCAGGAAATACTGATTTGATGGGCCTGGCTGATGAAGATGTAATGATGTTATTGCCACAGTTCTTTGCACCCAAAGATATACCAGACAACGTAGCGTAAGATTACAATGCCTTTTTCTAATTCTCTCATTTCTAGTGGTGGCGTTAGCCGTTCACTTAGTTTTGAATATGTTCGTTATAGTCGAAAAGATGAGGAAAAGCTTAAGTGATTGAACTGACTACAGTTATTGTGCTAATTTAATTTTTCTGTGTGATTACAGGTTGAAACCTCCGGCAACAACTGGTCCCAAAAAGAAAGATGATGCAGAGGCTCAGAACTTTTATGAGGTAAGTTAAGTAAATGGGTACATCCGGATTTTTTAAATATACTAAACGCACCAGAAAATAGAATGTTGGGACTTGGGAACAAATCTGATCTTCATCAATAGACTTACCACTGTTGTCTAGCTGTAACTTATTGTCTAGTTGAGAGTTTTAATATACTGATGGTGAAGTGCTGAGATTGTCTTGATGGGTTGGCATTATTAGATCAAACCTACAATTGGATTTCGGGTGTTAAGAATAGGTGGATGAATTGATACCAAAGGATTATCATGATAATTATAAATTCGCAAAAGTTATATCTGAATCATGCTAATTGCAGTAGTAATAGATTTGAAGCGTGTAAAAACACTCTATAAACCATCAAGAATACATGATTCCCTCTGCTCCATTGTTTATTTTGTGAAAATTTCCTTATTGTTTATTTCTAGTTTCTAGTTGCTATTTGCTATCTGATCGACGTCATGCTATGTTCTTTTATGATGCAGATTGATGTTGGCCCAGTATTTGCAATTGAATTCAGCGTCAAAGATATCCTCTTTTTTTTTTCATACGCTGCTACTTTCAATTCTTTTTTTGGACACTTTCTCTTCTGGATGCAGTGAGTAGCAACAGCAATGCTTGCTTCATCTGTCCTTAGCTTTCATACAGATCCCAAAGAAACTAAATTGGGAAGAGTTTGTTTCTCCCAGCTCAAAACACTGGCAATGGCAGGTATCTGTGTCTGCATTGTTTGAAGAGCGGCCTATATGGACAAGGGATTCTGTAGTTCAACGACTACTTGATAAAGGTCTGAAATGTACACATCATATGTTAAACAGGTGAGACAGCTTTTTAATGCGGATTTCTTGTACTAGGGTGCTTTTACTAATACATTCATCAACTTGGCGTGTTGTCTTGTAGGTTTCTTCTCAGGGCTGCATATTATTTCTCCAGTGGTCCGTTTCTTAGGTTCTGGATTAAAAGAGGCTATGATCCACGGGATGATCCTGAGTCTCGTGTGTGAGTTTCATCTTAAGAAATTGGTTAATCTTGTTGTATGTTTCATGACATGTTTAGGTAAAATGGTGATACACACAGCTGGGTACGTAATGATTGATTTTGACCTATATCTCCATTGGATAATTGTGTTTCAGATATCAGAGAATGGAATTCAGGGTTCCACCTGAATTACGAAGCTATTGCGATGCCAACGCAACTAACAAGTAAGTCTTTTTCTATCTCTGTGGTGACTCTTCCTATGAATGACTGTCATTTTGTACATTCTCTATAGGATTCTAAGATCATTTTCGTAGGACTCATAGATTTAGCGTGATTTGTTGAGAAATTTATAACTAGACCATTGGACATATGAAGGAAAATGTTTGTTTATATGTTATTTTCTTTTCTTTGCTACAGCTCAAAGCCAAGCTGGAACGACATTTGTGCTTTTAAGATATTTCCTTTTAAATGTCAAACCTTTCTGCAGTTATTTGAACTTGACGACGAGTACATCCAGCGAGAGATAAGAAAACCTCCCAAGCAGACTACTTGTAGCGTGAGTCCTCAGTTGAGCTTCTGAGCATGAAGTCAATACCCATTAATTATGGTCTTTTGCCCGTTAGTTCAAATATTAGCGCATATGAACTGACGCATCTGCGCCTGTAGATAAACTTTGCCAAGTCCTCATGATTATGATCTGATTGGTTTTTGTTTGCAGCACAAAACAGGATGGTTCTCTGAAGCCATGCTTGATACTTTGAGACTCCGCGTAGCTGTGAGGTTTGTGTCTGTGTTTCCTGAGCCAGGGTTCGAAGATGTATTTAAATCCATTCAAGAGGAATTTGAGAGGTCAGAGAAGATACAAATTCTGAAAGAGACACTTAAACCATCTCTAGTGAAGCACCGGGAGTCAACTAAAGGTAAGGTCATCAATAATATAATATTGTGTGTTTCATTTCGTTTTGGGAAGTCTATGACACTATTTGATGTACGTTCAGGGTACTGTATTAGGCCCTTATCTTCGCGTTTGTAGTGAGTATTTTTTGGAGTTCATCAAATCTCAATAGAATTCAGTGGCTTCAAAAGACTAAGTGATTTTGACAGAAAAAATTGGTTGATCATACCGCTCTATGAGTATGTACATACATATATATTAAATACAACTTTGTGTAATAAGAATTCTGTAATGAGTTAAACTACTAAATACGTATCACATGTTTTCGTTGAAGCCTCTGAAGTAACAACTACTGAACAGTATTTTAATTTGCAGGTGCTGAAGACATGGAAAAGTGTAAAACTGTAAACGAAGATGTTGATGCTAATGTTAATGAGGATGGATCTGATGAAAACCTGGATGACGAAGAAGAGGAAGAAGAAGAAGAACTTGATATGGTAATATTAATGTAAAGAAATTTTTTGTTGTTTTCTTCAGACCGTAGGTTTCACCGTTTCTACTTTCTATGTTCCTCTTCTTTTGCAGGCTGCAGGAGACAATGAGAAATCTTTTGATTCCCATGGATGTATCCTTCATAGTTTAGCCTTTTCTTGAGTTTTGGGAATTAAGACTGATCAATTATAAAGCTCTGTGGCTGGTTCTAACACCATTTTGACTCTCTATTTCCTTAGATTTTCCTATACGATTAAAAGATCTTGATAATGAGAACAGCTCCAGGACGTACCTTCAAGGTTTATTTGATAGTTTCCCAACCAGTGAACCTGGTTTATATGGAGACCATGCAGTTGATGATGGGAGTGATGGAGAGTTTCAGATATACGAGGAAGAATCTGAGGGAATGTACTCCATTGATGATAATAATGATGACGAAGAAGAAGATGATGATGATGACGACTGATGAGTAAAGATCATCAGCAGTTCATACCATAGGTACTATTTCATGTCTTCATCCATAACTTGGTCTAATTGACGATGAAAAACACTAGTGGATTCATCTTGAGCATTTTGGTGGAATCAGTGATTGGTAACTTTCACATTACTTTTTTTTGTTGTCTCTTTTCTGATGTTTCAGGTGAAGTAGGCTTTGTTCTTATGAATCATTCGTCCAGAAATGAGACGTCACCCAGCCTCCTCAGCTCCATCAATTGGTTGCAAATTGGCAATTGCATCTTGCTTTTTTGGTTTTCCATTACAAAATAGTTATAGGTTTACATCTCAATTTTGGAAACTAACTATAGAAAACAAACTACAGTAATGTTCTTCTAACAAACACATTGTATAACCATTTACACATTACATAATTTTCAACTATGTGGTTTTATTTGACCCAAAGAAAAACAGAGGCTCTATTTGTATACAAATTGCTTATAAAGGGACCGAAAGATAAATAAGAAAAGAGCTGAATGGATCAATATGAGGGTAGTTTCGACAATTCACATAAGCTAAAAGACGACAATAAAAAGATAAAAGAACAAACCCTAGTCTGAATTTTCACGGCCGACCTATCATCTATTAAGCTCCTCCGAGTCTTGTTGGCTTCAGTTTAGTTTGTGTGACCAAATCAATCTTCTCCGGCGCTACAGCGATTCTCCGGTACGGAGTCATTCACCTCTCTCTGTCTCTCTCTCTGTCTCTCTCTCTCTCTCTGTCTCTCTCTCTCTCTCTCTCTATCCTCTGTATTTCTGAATTTTTGGTTTCCGTGTGTTCTGCTTTTGTCTTTCTTGTTTTCTTCGCAATTTTGATAGAGAACAATCTGAGATTGTTCAAATTGAGATTCTTTATGCTAGAGAATGGTTATCTTCTTGCTTCGCACATTCTTTTGATCATAATTGTTAGAACGATATCGGAATTGTTCTTTGTTAACTTCGCATTGGTATAGTTTTAGTGTTTCTTGTTTGATTTTATCTATCTTGCGGGAGGAAAGAGTTTAACTTTCATTATAAGAGTTTAAGTATACAGTTAGAATTTGTGCTTAATGTTTGTGCGGAAATTGAATGTTTGAGTAAGGAAGCTGAACAAGGTAGATGCATGAGTCTATGTTACATGATGTCATGACACATGCTTTCTTTATGATAGATGGCAAGCGCTTGGAACATGAGCATTGCAATGGTTCATAGGGATATAGAGAGGGAATGGGGAGATCAGTGTGGAGTTGTTTCATTTTGTTTTTATTATCATTGGAGTTTCTTGCTCTCTCTTTGGGAACCAGTTTAGTCATCATGGGACGGTTCTGGAGAAATATATATTTCAAATTTTATAATAGCTTTTGGAGCACATTGGAGCAAATAAGCGTTTGGAGCTTGTGGAGCACTGCTCTGACCGAGGATTGCTCTCACTTGGTTTGCTTCATATATATTTTTGGTCTTACTGTGTTTTTTTTTTCTCTATATCCATCATCTCATCTTAATGCTGAGGCTCTATGGAAAGCTGTCTGAGTGGAGATTCTTTGTCTATAGCAGCAAACTTTGGTCCTTTACTTATTTGATTCCTTTTTATTCATTTGTGCAGTAACCTCTTTGGTGTCTTCTAACCTTTGCAAACAATGAGTGGGCGATTTTCTCGGTCAATCTATGTTGGTAACTTGCCTGGCGACATTAGAGAACATGAGATTGAAGATCTGTTTTGCAAGGTCAGTTTTTGGTTATTTGTTTGACTCAATTACCGATATTATCCCTATAACATAAAACGAAGATTCTGGAATATATTTTGTGTTTATCTTAATGCTCTTGTTTGCAGTATGGCCGCATTGTGGATATTGAACTGAAGGTTCCACCTCGTCCTCCATGTTATTGCTTTATTGAGGTAAGCTTATTCATTTAAATTACATGTACCTAACTAAATTTACAAGATATAGTTTCACTCAACCAAGCTCTGTTGAATATTTTGTAGTTTGAGCATTCTCGGGATGCTGAAGATGCCATCAAGGGCCGTGATGGCTATGATTTTGATGGCTGTCGCTTGAGGGTAATCAGACATTTTTTACATCCTTGCTATTTTTCAGTTTGCAGGATCAGTTTAGTGTTTTGCTAGTCCTGAACAAAAGAGTCCAAACTTTTCTGGCTGCTTCACATTACCTTTTGATGTTTCTATTCATTAGTCCATAGTTTCTAATCATAACTTATGCAGGTTGAGCTTGCCCATGGTGGCCGAGGACAGTCTTCAAGTGATCGACGTGGTGGCTATGGTGGTGGAGGAGGCTATGGTGGTGGTGGTGGGGCTGGTGGTGGATCTGCTCGGTTTGGCGTCTCACGACACTCAGAATTTCGAGGTTCGTGTAATATGCTATGAGAAGATGGTATGGATTAAGTTTGGTTTAATGCTTGCTTTATCTGATTCTTGGATGTCTTATTTTACAGTTATCGTACGTGGGCTCCCGTCATCTGCTTCATGGCAAGATTTGAAGGTCTGATGACACTTCATGTTTTGCTGTACCATATTAAATTCTACTTCCTAGTCTTAGTTTTTGTATAAAACCATTATTTCAGGATCATATGCGGAAAGCTGGTGATGTGTGCTTTGCTGAGGTCACTCGAGACAGTGATGGTGCGTTTACAGTTTCATATGCCCACTTAAATATTTGAATGGCCTACTTCCTTAGATATATCTTTCTTTTGTCAGCTTGAAGCAGCATTTTTGTTTGGGATATATTATAGTTGTGTCTTTTTCTTACACATGAAAATCTTTAATAATGTTCAGGAACTTATGGTGTTGTCGACTATACCAATTATGATGACATGAAATATGCTGTAAGTTAACTACGTTCTTCTCTCTTGCTGTATAGCACACTAAGATTTTATTTATTTATTCTGTGGTTCAAAACCTGTGATTTCAGATAAGGAAACTTGATGACACAGAGTTCAGAAACCCCTGGGCTAGAGCTTATATCCGGGTAAAATTTCGCTTTGCAGTCTTTTTTTGTTTGCCCTCTTTTCTCCATTAAGAAAACATTTTATACTATCTGATGAAAGTTTTACTTATATCCGACACTTGACATGGTCAGTTATAAGGGTTGATAGTAAATATGCTTCTATGGTGAAATGCGTAATGAAAAAGGGAGAGGTTTAACTAGATGGGAAAGATAAAAAGTAGAATTTACGTATTTAGGGTTTTAGGTATCTCAAATCTCTCAACAGTATAATGTGGTAGATGCTTCATTCTCTCCCCTCCCATTCCTGAAATATCTTGTGAATTTAGGCAAGAAATCAATGTGCTCACTTGAACATGATTTCACAAGTTCATGTCTGTGTTTTCTGCTCATATTCAGGTTAAGAAGTATGAAAGCTCTCGATCAAGAAGCCCAAGCAGAAGCAGAAGCAGAAGCCGAGGCCGTGGTCGTGGGCGTAGCCGCAGCCGTGATAGCCGCAGCCTTAGCCGTAGCAGGAGCAAGAGCCCAAGGAAGGATATGAGGTGCTATATTTGTTATCACTTGAACCTTATAACTCCCATTTTCAACAACTAAAAGCTGAGTTTCGTGTTTATGAATCTTTATCGCAGTAAATCACCAAGACGATCCCTTTCCAGGTCGATATCAAAATCTAGATCACCATCTCCTGACATGAAAAAGAGTCCCGCCAGGCAAGTTCTCTCCTTTTGTTTTTGGTGGTCGTTCCTTAACCGTGTTGGTATTTTTGTTCTATATTTTATTTCTAGTTAGTAAGTGTAATTTTTTCTTCAATTTAGGGCAATATCGAGATCTAAGTCCAGGTCCAGGTCCAGGTCCAGGTCGAGGTCCAGGTCTAGGTCTCCATCAAAATCTCCTCCCAAGGTACATAAATAAGCTTGCATTGTAGCATTAAAAAAATACCAAGTTACAGGCAAAAGACCAAAGAAAGCATCTTTAAAAATTGTCCTTTTTTCTCAGGTTCGTGAAGGCAGTGACTGAGTTATCTAGGCGGTGAAAAAGACCAGAAGAAAAAGAATGGTAGAATTCTCAAGTCAAGATCCAATCTGTGACATTTGTTGTTTTTTTTGCTGTTTTTAGATAATTGACAACTTCTGCTCCCTGTGCTTCCTTTGCTTTCAAATCATCTTTTCACTATTCTCTCTCTCTCTTTCATTATGTTATGGATGATTCCGTGAGCTTTTGTATGGTTGGATTGGATTGGACCTTTTCGTGTCCTTGCCCTTTAAAGTCATAGCTTGAATTGAAATACTTGATCTGATAGCTTGAATTGAAATACTTGATCTGATTTATTTGATAAATGTCATCAGACTAAAGTAGGTGTAAAGTCTGGTGTGATGTGCAAAATCTGAAGACTATTAAGTTAAATGCAAAACATATTGCTTTGTAACGATGATTAGAGAGGAAGAAGTAAAGCAATCTAAAGAGAAGAACACCATAGGTCATCCGACACTATATTGAAACGTTACCTACTATGAAGTCCTAAGCATTAGATGTATTTGGCATGGTCTATAGATAATAGAGATGTGTATAGATAATATAAGATAATAGAGATGCGAATTTGTTGACCCGTACCAGGTCCAATTGATTGGATTCCAAGACAATTCATTAGAGAAAATATTAAGAGATTAATTTGATCCAAGCAGATTTTTCGCATTAGAGAACACTATTACAATATTCTTTTTTAAAGATAAATCGAGGCTGTATATATAGAGCATATAAGATGCCCAACTTAGAAACCAAACTACAGCTAGCTGTTATAAAGTCTTATGAAGCCATAATAGCATCCATAAGCCTCACATCTTCTACATGGTCTATAAATGTGTAAATCTTCCGACCCTTAAAAGCTTCAATCCCATGGATTTTAACTCTTATAATAGTGTTCCTCTTCATATTGTAATAGAAAATGTAGAAAGGATCATATAAACCGAAGGAAGTCAACACAATTTCACCATTACGAGTCATCCCAACAATATATAACCAGTCATTTGCAACTACGTTCTTCCACAAAGGCGGCAATATGTATAAATGCCTCGACCATTTCTGTTCGTCGACATCATCTAAAACCCACAACTCGATGCATGTAGTTCTTTTATTAAACATACCATCTGAATCATTGATTAGTGCACCTAACTTGTCATTGTAATTGATCAGAGTACGAAGCAAGAACTGGATCCAAACACCTTGGTTTTCAATACTAATAAACTTGAACTTTTCAGACCTAACGTCAAAGCAAACTATCATTAATCGAGTTCCCATAGCTTTATAAAATAAAAGCCCATTGATGCATATCCCAACACATTGAGGATCATGAGGAATGGAACATTCAACCATTCTCCATAATAATCTTCCTCCAGGTTCTAATGTGAGAACTCGATGCCTTCGAGCACCAATTGATACACACAACACTTTGTGCTGTTTCTTGATCGGATCATATCCAAAATAGGTTTTTTTCATTTCTGCGCTCTCATTTGTCGTATCGGGTAAGGTTACGTACTTTCCTGTGCTAGGGTTACATATCATCAGGTTCGTATCTTTATTACATATCAATCCGCAGACAGGAGGACAAACCTTAGAAACCTCAAAGGAACATGGGAAACACATGTGACGATCGGCAACTAAAGATGGAGAGGAGTTCTTGTCTAGATTTAGAGGCTGAGGTGATGTGAAGAAGAGCCACCTACCGTCAACATGTAAGGTAAACAGAAGACGTGGACGAGCAGAGGAGTTGGTGAGGTAAAGCTCGGTGAAATAGGGAAAGCTGAGGATTGAAGACCATTGCTTCGACACGCAACGGAATCTTGCCATGGATTTGGCAGGAACTCTCGAGAGAATCTCAGAGACGAGATCATTTGGTATCTCCGGCAAGGAAGATCGTGAAATGGTTAAACCCATTGAGATACACGATACCGTTTTAGGCTCTAGCTAGTACGTACTCTCTTCCACGTCAAATAGGATTTTAAGATTCATCGGAGTAATTGTTTGTAGATACTATATATAAATTGAAGTTAAATAATGTGTTCATACCAATCTCTAATCCAAGTTAATAAAGATGAAAAACAAAATACTGTCACCAAATCCAAAAATATTTAAGTAAAATTATTAATTAAATTGATGTATTTTCAATAAACATAATATTTGTGAGATTTTAATGCATGTGTGTCAAAATAGTATGAAATCTTGTCAACTAAATAACTAAATTATGAAAAGAAAAATGTTTTCGTAAACATAATGGAATATAAGAAAGTTGATTTATATAATCAAATCTAAGAAATTAGAATTTTATAATAATAGTGAAAAGTGCAATACTTTGCTGTCAAAAAAAAAAAGTGAAAAATGTCAACAAAAATAAAAATAAAATAACGGGTAAAAGAGAAGGGGTTTGTTCACACCAGACAGAAAAGATGAGTCAACCATGTATGTGCTATGTTTGTTTTAAGAGATTTTTAGAGTTACGAAGAGAGTTGCATGTCTTCGTATGGATGTTCATCTATATATATGTGTGTCTTACATGTAGTTAAATTTGATCGATGGGCCTCATTTCGTAAATTAATTAGTAAGATTAAAAAAAATAAAGATGTTATGATGATGTAATTACTAGACAAAGTCAAATGGTAAACAAACATAAAGGACGGTATGTGAAGTTGTTAAAACACTTTTACATATGGTTCACATTCTCTATATGGTCTATAAAGGTGAAAATCCCTGAACCCTTACGAGATCCAAACCCTTGGATTCTAGCTTTTATGAATGTATTCCTCTTCACATTGTAGATCAAAACGTAGAAAGGATCCGATGGAACGTATGAAGACAACACAAACTCACCATTACGAGTCATCCCAACAACGCGAAACATGGCCTTTGTCGCAACTAAATTCTTCCAAATAGGAGGGAATGTGTAGATATGCCTCGACCATCTCCCTTGTTCGGCATCATCTAAAACCCACAGCTCAATCCTTTCAGTTCTTCCATAAATTAGGTTCTCATCTATCACACCTAATTTACCCTTGTGATTAATCAGACGCGTACATCATACCTCCTGCTGCTCCAGAGATGGTGGATTAATGATAAACTCGAACTTCTCAGAGCTCAAAACAAAGCAAACTATCATGTTAACTAGAACCCTACTTCTGTCATGAGCTATATAGTACAAAACCCCACTTATGCAAATCCCAAAATGCCCTATGGGATCATATGGTCGGGAACATGTAATCTTTCTCCACTACAGTTTACCCGTACCTAATGTTAGAACCTTAGCTTTTTGAACGGAGGTGTATTCACAAATGTCCACGCACAATACTTTGTATTGTTTTCCGACTGGATCATACCCAAAAAAGATTCTCATTTCATCCTTCATCCGTGTTGGATTGGGTAAGGTTTTGTACTCTCCTGTGCTAGGGTTACATATCATGAAACCCTTATTTCTATTACATATCAGCCCCTCGACAGGTGAACAAATGCCATGGGAACAGTCTCTAGTGGGGAAACACATGTGATATTCGGCTGTTAAAACACACGAGTAACTCCGGTCTAGATTTGGAGGCTGAGGTGCCGAGAAGAAGACCCACTTACCGTTTAGATGGAAGGTGAACAAGAGACGAGGACTAGTCGGGGAGTTGGTGAGGCGACGGCTGAGAACGTAATCCCATTGCTTCGAGACGCAACGGCATCTCGCTATGTCTTCCACAGACAATCTAGAGACTATCTCAATCAAGAGATCATTTGGGATGGCCGAGAAGAAAGATGGTGTTTCACATTTTTGTCGGGAGATGGTTAAACCCATTAAGCCTCTAACGACGAGATATATTGCTTCTTAGCTTCTTCTTTGTTCGTTTATATAGGCAATAAATTGAAATTATGTGGAAAGAGATTTAAGATAACAAGGAAAGAGATTTGCGGAAGACTTATTTATGGATTTTTATATGAAATTAATCAATCAAAATTTAAATAACTCATCAGTATTTATTAAAACTAACTTAATTTAAAAGAAAAAAATAATCAAAATTGTTTACACTTTTAACCCAATTAAACATGAAAATTAAATACTTTAAAGTTGATGATATAGTCAATATTTTAATTTACTTTAATGATTTTAAAACCAAGATCTACATATATTTCTCTTTTTAAAATTTGTTGAATTTTGACACATATAAATCATATTAAATATTATAGATAAATTTTTTAGAGTATTAAGTAAGGTTTTAAGTAAATATGACATTAATGTTAGGTTTATTTTAAATAAATCATCATTCAGATATTCTAATCAAACCAAAATGTTAACAAAAAAATCAAAATACATTTGTTTTAAAGCTTTCCGGACCACTACAAAATCTTATAACTTAATTTTTCTAATTTCCGGACCACTACAAAATACATTGATAGCACATTAGGATACCAAAAAATCTTATAACTTAATTTTTGTCAATGCGGTTAGAATACCATAAAATCTTAATTTTTGTAAACTGACTAATCCGAGTCTCTTCAGGTTAAGCCCTAAATCTTTTTTTTGTCTGAACGGGCTTAGTTTGGAAGACCCGTTATTTTTTCTGGAATTATATATTGAAGTTAGAGTCCTATGTTTTTCAGGGTTGGCATGCCGTAACATTGTTTCGCTGCTCCCATATGTGGTACACGGTGGCTTGAGCTGCTATCTTCCGGATCACTATTTGGTTGAGGAGTTAAATTCTTCTACTACCAGAAGAGGATGACGAAGTCGGCAAGTCGGCCAATTAAGTAAAAACCAAGCAGTTACGAAGGTGAAGGGGTGAAGTGATGCACGCCTAGATGTAACACGTATTTCCACACTTCTAAAGAGATGTTGCAATGGATGAGCAAATGATCCCTAGATTTAATTGAAGAGTAACACATATGTAGTTGAGATGTTTATGCCCTAGTGTATGAACTTTGCTAGGCCATGTAGTTGGTTTAGGTGAACTACAGTCCAGGAAGTACAAGCGTGCTGAACCATCATATCCGTTTAATTTTAGAATCTTAAAATGTTTATACATGGGATTAAGTTAAGAATTTAGATTTATTTATTTATTTATGAATCTTCAACTAGGCTAAGGTCATTAGTTTGGGTTCCGAATTTAATGTTTACAAATTACAGGTTTAAGGTTTAGATTTTGTAATAGTAAATGTTCATGAGATTGAGCGAGTTAACTCAAGTATATTTCAATTTTTAGGTTCCATCTTTTCTCTCACAAGATTTAATTCTGTTCTCTAGTGATTTTCCTTCTGTCTTTATAGTCCAATACCGATATACATCTAGGCTATAGCTAAATGTTAACATACCTTCTTTAGAACAACACCAAAGGCATGTAAACAAAAACAACTTTATTTATTTATTAATAAAGTGTTGTCGTGCCTTTTCTTCCTCTTCACTGTCATTGTAAATATTGCAATGAGCTCGTGGATCACTAGAATCATCTTTGTTACTCGTAGGTTTACCAAGTTCTTCAACGGTTTTACAAATGGATGGATTATTTTCTCAACATATCTTTGGATGGATATCACAAACATACACAAATTTTGCTCATGATAAAAAAGAGAGAGTTTAAAATATCTAATGAAACAGCTTACAACAATTATCGATTATGTTTCGAGTTTCCTCAAAGACATAAATCAACCAAAATACAGTACACAAATATCAATAATAGTCATACAATAGTAAAGGAACAAATGTTGCTTACACGAATGGATTGATATAAGCACAACAACGCTCATTATAAAGTCCTATGAACTGCCCAACACTTCCATAAGCTTCACATCTTCTACATGGTCCATGAAAGTCTGAACCTTCATCAGATCATCGGCATCACGAACAACAACTCCTAACTGGACTTCAGCCTTTCCGACTGTGTTTTTCACCACATTGTAATACACAATGAAGAAAGGATCATTATCCAAATACTCTGGGGCGAACACGATATCACCTGCACCACTCATCCCCACAACATTCATCTCCTTATGTTTCCCAACCAGATTCTTCCAGGAAGACGGCAACTTGTAGACATGCTTCGACCATTTCTCGTTCTCCATATCATCTAGAATCCACAGCTCAAATCTTGTAGTTTCACTGAAAAAGATAGTCTCATAAGGGAGAACGGCAGCTAACTTACCTTTGACATCTATAAGAGTTGACCTCCAAAGCATAATGTCCACATCAAGAAAGGTGAACTTCTCTAACGACATATCAAAACAAACTAGCATAATAGGTTTAAGACATCTAGGGTCATTGCGCACAGCTATATAGTACATAAACCCATTGATGCATATTCCATTAGATAAAGACGAATGGGCTACGGAACTTTCAACTATTCTCCACGACAGTTCTCCCCTTCCTAATGTCATAACTCGATAGTCGTCCTTGGACTTGCGCAATACCTTGAACAGTTTACGGACCGGCTCATATCCAAAGTAGACATTCACAGTACCTCCTCCTGATGCAATCTTCATCTTGGGTAAAGTGATGCACTGCCCAGTGCTTGTGTTACAGATCGATGGATTCATATCCAAACTACAGACCAATCCGCAGACAGGACGTGAAACACCACAAGAAGCATCTTCAGTGGGGAAACTCATGCGACGATCGGCAACTAAAACAGACGAGCTGATCTGGTCCTGAGGTGCGGAGAGGAAGAGACACTTACCGTTGACTTTGAGGTTGAACAAGAGACAGGGACGAGTCGATGATGTTTTCAGGTACAAGTCGGTGAAATCTCGACGGCGGAGAATGTAAGACCATTGCTTGGAGACGCAACGGCACCTTCCGATGGATTTCACGGGCAATCTCGAGAATACTGAGATGAGGAGATCAATTGGTATAGACCTTTCGGAGATGCTTAGGGGATTCATCTTGGGGACTTGATTCTCTTGTGCCTCCATGACGGCACATGAGCTCTAGAATCACACTAGGACAACAATATCTATTTGCCCTAATTTTTATGTATGGCTGTCAGAAGAAACAAAGGGCAAAATCAGACAAAAAGACAAAAAAGATAAAAAATCATTTTGAGATAACTCTCTCCACTCATCTCCACCGTTTATTTTCTAAGTCACCGATTCTGTTTTTAGCCATACAAAATTTTGTTTTCCTTACTTAAAGAAAGAGTAACAGTTTTTTAAAATGGGCCATTATATATTTAAATTATTATCTGCCCAAAACATTTGTTCTCTTATTGTTGTTTGAAATATAAATGTTTCAATTTTATGGGTTACATACTGAAACCAATAAAATATTTGAGGGTGTATATATACTTATCTACTTTCAGTTTTTTAATTAACTTGAATCGAGAATTACATAGTTATCAACGAGCATACAAATACTGATATACACCCAATATATACAATAGAAATAAGATAATCAAAACAAGAAAAAGGAAATATTGTACTTATGAAATAAATTAGGAGAAAATAAAACAGTAGCATTGATCTGAAGTTTTTATGAAATTTAAAATAACAGCTTATTACATAATAAGATTCACATTCTCGACATGGTTTAAGAAGGTGTAAATGCTTTGACCTCTAACAGGGCCAAGCCCTTGAATTTGAACTTTTTTGATAGAGTTCCTCTCCATATCCAAGTGAAATATGTAGAACGGATCAGACAAGACGTTCGGAGCAAACACAACTTCAGTGGTTCCATTAATTATCCCAACAATGCAAACTTCAGTCTCCGCAACTAGCTCCTTCCACCTAGGCGGCAATATGTGAACAAGTTTTGACAATTTATGTTCTTCAGTGTCTTCTATAACCCATAACTCAAAGCTTTCAGCTGTTCCATCAATGAAAGTGGTTGGGCTACAACGGATTCCTCCTAATTTACCCTTGTAATTTATCAAAGTTGTCGGAAACCCAAAATCATTGTTCTTGATAAAGTTGAACTTCTCCTGCTTAACATTAAAGCAAACTAACATATTGTTATACTCCGTATCTCTAGCTGAGTAATATAGCATCCCATCGATGCAAATCTCCCTACGAAGAGGTATGTGGTCTACAGAACACTCAAGCATTCTCCATTGTAGGTTGCCCGTTCCTACCGTGAGAACTTGATACTATTCCGCTTTATACAAAAAGGGCCTTCTACAAATTGTCATGCACAATACCTTATATTGTTTTTCGCTTGGATCAAAACCTAAATAGGTTATGACCTGACACCTCCACGTTCTCACTTTGGGTAGAGATTGGAATTGTCCGGTGCTAGGGTTACATATACTCATCCTTGCATCCTTCCTACCACTTAAACGCCACTCATCTCTTGTACACAACAATCCACAAACAGGGACACAAACTCGACAGGCGAGAGGTTTAGGGACCTCCATATGACTATCAACTACTAAAAGATTGGAATTCATGTTGTGCCCAGGTGAAGAGAAGAAATACCACGTACCCTCATCTTGAAATGTTAAAAGGAGACGTGGGCGAGCAGACGACCTCTTCATGAATGCATCGGTGAAATATGGGTCGCGAAGAAGAGAGTTCCAGTTGTTGGAAACACATCGAGACCTCGCCACGGATTTGGTAGGCAGTCTGGAGAGTATTTCCACTATGAGATCAGTTGGCAGCTGCGTACGAGACTTTTTTACTAACCCATCCGTTGAAGATATGGTTAGGGGAGCCTCATCACTGGAGAGGTGCTCCTTCAGTTTTTTATTGGCGGCCATTGAAACCCTTTTGAGCTTGTACCAATAGACAAACACAACAGCCACCTATGGTTTATATATGGTCTTCCAAGATTTTACAAAACCCTTAACTACAGTCCACTAGATTTACACACAGCTGCCACCTTTTGGATTCTTTTCTATTTCTATTTGTTTTGGTCTTATCTCTTTTGTAATCTAATCTTTTTTTCCTATACATTTCTTTTGTAGTATCTTTATTATTATATATAAAGATTATTATCCATAATGGGTAGTAATTTTATACATAGATATGTACACTTTATACATAGATTTATACATAGATATATATATGTACACTTTATACATAGATTTATACATAGATATATACCCAAGATTTATATCGTCTTCCAAGATTTTACATTCCACTAGTTACACGACAGCTGCCACCTTTTGGATTCTTTTCTATTTCTACCATTGTTTTTATCTTATCTCTTTTTTCATCTAATCTTTTTTACCTATATATTTCTTTTGTAGCACCTTTATTATTATATATATAGATTATTATCCATCATTAGGTAGTAATTTTTTATACATAGATATATACACTTTATACAGAGATATATATATACCCAATCATACCATTGATTTTGGGCCTATATATATTTTACTAGAGGAAACTCTGGACTATGCTCGGTATAACTTTACAATTAAATATTTTTTGAATTAATTAATTTTCGTGAAGTGGCCAATAATCTAGTAGGAAATAATATGTTCATTAAGAACATGCACCACCATACCAAGAATTGTTTTTTTGCTTTTATAAATATAGAAATTTGGCTAATGGATCGGTTAGTTGTGGCCAAATATTCAGAAAAAAAACTTTTTAAATCATGTGACTAATATTTTAACAAAAGACAACCTACATTATGTGGTACTCTATATTTCGTGTAATTGATTTCTTTTGCAATTAATATTTAAGGTTTTGTAAATATAAATTTTTACTCCTTACGATTAGTCTATATACTTTTTAAATGATATACCGCATGTAAATTATTTGTAGTCTGTTTAAAATGTTATTAATTGTAATATCAAAATTATGAATTAGTTTTATTTTCATAAAGTATATTAGTTTCATTTTCCCCCAATTCTGTAGTTATCTCTATTTTATTTATATATTTGAAATTTTAAAAAATGTTTATATATGTATTAATTTAAGATTTAAGATTTTTGTTATTTAATTATAAATCTTCAACTAGGCTTAGGCAATCAGTTTGGGTTAAGAATTCAGTGTTTACAAATTACAGGTTTAAGGTTTAGATTTTGTTTTACTAAAAGCTTAATTATGAGCTTGAACGTTTAACTCACGTATCTTTCAATTTTTAGATTCCATCTTGTCTCACAAGTCGCAAGATTTTAATTCTGTTCTAGTGATTTTGCTTCTGTATTTATAGTCTAACACCGACACATCTAGGCTAGCTACATGTAATCATACCTTCTCTAGAACAACACCAAAGACATGTAAACAAGCAACTTTATTTATTTATTACATCTTTAATTAAAAGTAATGCATTCTATATTCCAGAGAGATCCTTCCTAGTTCCAAGAATAGAAGTATTGTCGTGCCTTTTCTTCTTCTTCACTGCCATTGTAAATATTGCAATGAGCTCGTGGATCACTAGAATCATCTTTGTTACTCGTAGGTTTACCAAGTTCTTCAACGGTTTTACAAATGGATGGATTATTTTCTCAACATATCTTTGGATGGATAACACAAAGATACAAAGTGAGTTAATTTTGCTCATGATAAAAAAGAGAGAGTTTAAAATATCTAATGAAACAGCTTACAACAATTATCGATTATGTTTCGAGTTTCCTCAAAGACATAAATAAACCAAAATACAGTACACATATATAAATAATAGTCATACAATAGTAAAGGAACAAATGTTGCTTACACGAATGGATTGATATAAGCACAACAACGCTCATTGTAAAGTCCTAAGAACTGCCCAGCACTTGCAAAAGCTTCACATCTTCTACATGGTCCATGAAAGTCTGAACATTCATCAGATGACCATCACGAATAACAACTCCTAACTGGACTATAGCCTTTCCGACTGTGTTTTTCACCACATTGTAATACACAATGAAGAAAGGATCATTATCCAAATACTCTGGGGCGAGCACGATATCGCCTGCACCAGTCATCCCTACAACATTTATCACCTGAAGTTTCCCAACCAGATTCTTCCAGGAAGACGGCAACTGGTAGACATGCTTCGACCATTTCTCATTCTCCATATCATCTAGAATCCACAGCTCAAAGCTTGTAGCTTCACTGAAAAAAATAGTCTCACAAGGGTGAACTGCGCCTAACTTACCTTTGGCATCTATAAGAGTTTACCTCCAAATCATAATGTCCGCATCAAGAAAGGTGAACTTCTCTAACGTAATATCAAAACAAACTAGCATAATAGGTTTAAGACGTGATCTAGCGTCTTTGCGCGCAGCTAAGTAATACATAAACCCATTGATGCATATTCCATTAGATAAAGACGAATGTGGTACGAAACTTTCAACTATTCTCCACGACAGTTCTCCCCTTCCTAATGTCATAACTCGATAGTCTTCCTTGGACTTACGCAATACCTTGAATACTTTATGGATCGGCTCATATCCAAAGTAGACATTCTTTGATGCAATCTTCATATTGGGTAAAGTGATGTACTGCCCAGTGCTTGTGTTACAGATCAATGGATTCATATCCAAACTACAGACCAATCCGCAGACAGGACGTGAAACACCACAAGAAGCATCTTCAGTGGAGAAACTCATGTGACGATCGGCAACTAAAACAGACGAGCTGATCTGGTCCTGAGGTGCGGAGAGGAAGAGACACTTACCGTTGAATTTGAGGTTGAACAAGAGACAGGGACGAGTCGATGATGTTTTCAGGTACAAGTCGGTGAAATCGCGACGGCGGAGAATGTAAGACCATTGCTTGGAGACGCAACGGCACCTTGCGATAGATTTCACGGGCAATCTCGAGAATACTGAGATGAGGAGATCAATTGGTATAGACCTTTCGGAGATGCTTAGGGGATCCATCTTGGGGACTTGATTCTCTTGTGCCTCCATGACGGCACATGAGCCCAACTTCACACTAGGACAACAATATCTATTTGCCCTAATTTTTATGTATGGCTGTCAGAAGAAACAAAGGGCAAAATCAGACAAAAAGATAAAGTTACATTTGCCAAAGAGATAAAAATGATTTTGAGATATCTCTCCACTCATCTCCACCGTTTATTTTCTAAATCACCGATTCTATTTTAACCATACAAAATTTTGTTTTCCTTACTTAAAATAAGAGTAACAGTTTTTTAAAATGGGCCATTATATATTTAAACTATTGTGTGCCCAAAACATTTGTTCTCTTATTGTTGTTTGGATATAGCATACACATACACAAAGAAGGGAAGAAGACATAACAAGCAAGCCTAGATTCTTATTCTACACGTATGTATATGAATGTATTCTCATAGTAGAGGTGAAAAGAAACAATACTTTAGTTGCATTGTGATAGAAGGTCTGCGACTGCCTTCCCACCACACTCTTGGCGTGTGCGTCTTTGTATGCTTCTGTAACAAGTTGTGAAAGTTTCTTCCACATCAACCATTGTACCCTCAGGAAGGCTTTCTTGTTTTAAAATGTAAGCAGAACTGAAAAACCAACAAACAATAATTTCTAAAATCTGCATAGTCAAGAACCACTAACCAAGAAAACAACTGAGAGAAAGGAGAAATATGCAAAATCTGTGAAGAAGAGAGACACATGAGAAACAAGACCCCATGTTTCCAAGTAAGCGGCTAGCATATGGTACCAAATCGTTTACTCTTGATGCCACAAAGCTAAGCAAAGACCGCAGCACACATTAATATATAAACAGCCAAACTCGTCGTATGTTGGGTATTTAGCATAGATGGTCCAGCCACCAATCCAGCAAACATGGCCCTCCACTTTGCAGTTATGGTCTTATGGATTCAGATAAATTACTTCACTAGTGATCAAATCTGAAGAAATCGATAACATTCTGAATTTCACTATTTTGGATCATTTTAAAAAATTCAAAAAAAATAAAAAAAATTCACAAAGAGTAGTAGGGACATGCCTCTTGTCTCCAACTAAAGCAGCAATAGCTTCTTCATCAACTGTATAAAAGTTCCAGCAAAAGTTCCCAAAAACAATCCATATCTACTATTTGCAAACTCTCCAATTTTCCTAAACCGGATTACAATCAGATCAGATTGAGCACTAAACCGGAAAAAATCTCATTTCTTGTCACGTATACGAAAGATGCTTAAATCTCCAAAATAAACATCGATACTTTTAAGATTTCTTGGTTGGTTTGCATTAAATTAATGCTATTTAATGTTAATCACTCTGTAAGCACCTCCCTTGAAGGTGGTTTAACCATAAGTCTCACTTGGAAACTCATTTACCAACTGAACTAGAGGATCCAGTCATGTAGGTACTAACTAACCATTCTTGCCGTAGATCCGCCCTGCATGAAACTACGTACTTACGTATACGCGTTTCAGAATCTCTATATAACACCACCTTCTCATACTCCTTTCTTGGCAACAAAGTCATATAAACCTAAAACAAACACTTATAACCCAAAACATATCATATACATTTTACTCTCTACTCTCTAGTAGTATAGTAAAATGGCTTCGGTCAATTTCTTGATCCTAGCCATTATTTTGTGTTCAAGAACTTCGGGAGCCACATCTCGTGATGGGGGACTCTTTGAAGCTTCTGCCGTTGAGAAACATGAGCAGTGGATGTCTCGGTTCCATTGCGTTTACTCGAACGATGCTGAGAAAGCGCGTAGGTTTGAGATCTTTAAGAAGAACTTAAAGTTCGTAGAGAGCTTCAACATGAATACGAACAAGACGTACAAGTTGGATGTCAACAAGTTCTCTGATCTCACCGACGAGGAGTTTCAGGCGAGGTACATGGGGCTGCTGGTGCCTGAAGGTACTTCATCACTAGATTCTTACAAAACGGTGTCCTTTAGACATGAAAATGTCAGTGAAACTGGTGAGAGCATGGATTGGAGACAGGAAGGGGCCGTTACATCCGTTAAGAACCAAGGCCATTGTGGTAACTAATTATCTTTGTTTTTATTTTTATTGAAATGTGTGACATCTTGTAAAATAGCAAGATTACGGATTGAAACTCCATCATACTTTTAACTTTTAAAGTATATACATACGAAATTCATATTATTCTTTAAAAAAATGCATACGTGTTTCATTAGTGTTTAAATGATTAAATATATGTGATTTACTACAATAACACTAAAAAAATGTTAAAAGATGTATTAATTGAAATGGAACAGGATGTTGTTGGGCTTTCTCGACCGTGGCAGCAGTGGAAGGCATTACGAAGATTTCTAAAGGAGAGCTCGTATCCTTGTCTGTACAACAACTCGTGGATTGTAACACAGAGAGCTACGGATGTGGCGGAGGGAATACGGTGAACGCTTTCAACTACATTATAAAAAACCAAGGAATCACCACAGAGGATAGCTATCCTTACCAGACATCACAACAAACCTGTGACTCAACTCATTCCATTGCTGCAACCATCAGCGCTTACGAGACGGTTCCTCAAAATGACGAAGAAGCATTGCTAAAAGCGGTGTCTCAACAACCTGTTTCCGTTGCCATAGATGGGTCAGGAGATGCTTTTAGGCAATATTTTGGCGGGATATTCGAGGATGAGAACTGTGGGACGGATGGGACTCATACTGTTACAGTTGTTGGTTATGGTACGAGTAAAGAAGGGATTAAGTATTGGTTGTTGAAGAACTCATGGGGAAAATCTTGGGGAGAAAATGGTTACATGAGAATCAAGAGAGGCGTAGATGCACCTGAAGGAATGTGTGGTTTGGCCCAATTTGCTTACTATCCACTTGCTTGAAAGCCTTTTATACCTAGCATGGGTTTGTTCAGAGTACTACTGACTAGCTTTTGCAGCCGCATGATATGTTTTGGAAATTTTCGTTTATAAATATATATTTTGAAAGTTATGTTATTGGTGGAAGCATTGGTGTAACGAATATAAATTTTTATTTATGGTAATGTGATCTTCGCCAAACAGAAAATATTATTCGAAATTAATTGGTTCATATTCTGAAACGCAAGGGCATCGCCGAATGGTTGGTAGTATGGTAGACATGCCAGTACTTACGTTTATTTTTATTATTTTTTATTATTACCTTTACTATGTTGTGAAAGAAAAAACAAAGCTCGAACTTTAAAAATTATATCTTTCACGGTGCTAAAAGTGCTAACAATAAGTTCTTTATCAAAAATTATGAAAACAAAGATAAGGAAGAAAGAAGTACATATGTAAAAAAAAGTTGACTCACCCTATCTCCCCTCTAAATAACCAAAAAAATATCACTATTAATTGTATATAAAATTTTTGGAATTTTGTTTGAAATAAATCATCAAAAAAAAAGTAAGTACTATTGAATAATAAAAGAGAAACAAAGCTAATGGGTTTTAAGAAAAATGATGGCGTTCATGGAGTCTTGTTCTTCTTCCTAAGAGGAGGAGGAGGAGAGAGAATCTTGCCAGCATAAATCGCTATATCGGTCAACATCTTCATGTTCCAATTCGCATAAACCATAGGCGTGGGATGAAAAAAGCTAGTCCTACACATGGAAATATTCACAAGGGCAAGAGCTTGGTACGCTCTCATGAATCTATAATCTCGTAGATACAAATACTTCAAGGCGTTGTCTAGATGAGCGTCCACCAACTTATAAGCTTTCCTACAAGCATCGAACTCTGTTTTGTCTCGTTTATTTTTCGCTTTCGGAAGAAGAGTACCTTCGATGTTGTCTAGCGTTTGTATAGCGTTGATCCAAGCTTTAGCCGCGGTTAGCTTCGCTATTGTTTTGATCGAGGTTTGTTTTCTGATTAGCTGTGACGTGATTGTTTGGTTGCAGAACTTGAAATCTATTGTTTGCTTGCAGATTCTGTTGATTAGGTTTTGTGTTGGTGGATCAGGGACGACTGAGATTGATGGTTTGAATGTAATGAAGATGAGAAGAGACATGAGTAGATGAACGTAAGCCATTTTATCGTAAGGTGTTTTTGATATGATATGCTAAAGAGAAAGCTTCATTGGTAATATCATATTTATATACTTTTTCTTATTTCCATAGAATGTAACAAGTACGTTCCAAAACGTAGTTGTTAACCTTCTATCTTATTATGATGTTGACATCTAATAGTGATTAGTGTGAGGAGAAATAGTGAATAATGAATAAAATATATGTTTGGTGATATGGTTGAAGGCAAATAATGTTATTTGCTTATTGAACACATTTTCTCAATTCCTTTGGTTTGAAGTCTTTCCAAAGTAATTTGAGTTGCATTTTCTTAAATACTATTTTTGTCATGTTAGTTTAATAATTTGTTACGAACAAACTTATCCAGAAGTGAGAGTGTTTATTGTAGATTATAGTACAATTGATTTTGTTGTTGTTTTGTCATTTGGATTTTAATCATGAGTTTTGTAGTATGATTATAATTATTGTATGTATTTTATAGGGTCGCCATGATTAAAAACAATACATTTGGTACATAAATTAAATAAGGAAACAAAAAAATCTGATAACCAAAAATGTGAGTGTGGTGATCAACCAGTATTTGGTAGGTCTACCAAAGATCATCAACTCTTTGTATTAACAACAATTCTCCAAAAAAGTGTATAGAACTCAAACGACACCGTTTTCCAAATCTTTGACCAAAAAGAGAACGGCGCCGTTTCAATGAAATCCCAAAGTCCCCAGAATGGTGGCGTTTTAGTTAAGCTAAAACCCGCGACGTCAAAGGGTTTAGTTGTAGAAGTCAGAGAGCTTCTTCTCTCTCACAGTCACAGCAGCGCCATGTTTGGTTCGAGAAGTCTCTACTGCTGTAGCAGAATCTGGAATCGTTCTCTGTTTCTGAAATGTTCTGGAAGCTTCCGAGCTAGTTTCTCGACCAATTCCGTAGTATCGAAGCAGAAACTGGTTGGGACGCATAATGGAACTTTCCACTGTGACGAAACCTTAGCTTGTTTCATCCTTCGTCTTTCTAATAGATTCTCCGATGCTCAAATCGTTCGAACCAGAGATCATCAGGTAAATTTTCTTCAATCTACAATGCAATTGAGCATATCTGTGTGTGAATCTTCTTTCTTTGGATTCAATTTGATAATTTTTCGAAATTTCCGAGAAATGGTTAATTCAGCTTGAGCTTTATGTAAAATTCTTGAATTATTTGAAGATTTTGTCGTCAATTTTGTATAATTTTGAGTGTATAGTTTTGATTTTGTGCAGTAATTGATAATGATGTGGTTACAAGGTTTTGGAGAAGCTTGATGCGGCACTTGATGTTGGAGGTGTGTATGATCCTCAGAGTGAACGTTATGACCATCACCAGAAAGGATTCACTGAAGTGTTTGGGCACGGGTTTAACACTAAACTCAGTAGTGCTGGCCTTGTCTATAAGGTAAATGAAGATATTTTCTTGTGTTTTGGTGGTTAGTTGAGAATTTTGTGGATTGTACTGATGCTTTTGTATTCTAGCATTATGGATTGGAGATAATTGCTAAGGAGCTTCAACTTGATCAGGGACATCCTGATGTGCATCGATTGTTTCTCGCGGTGTACAAAAACTTCATTGAGGTAGTTCTTCTTGTTCTTGAAAGGTTGCTTCTTTGGCTGATGTATTCTTTGGTGTCTATTTAGTAAACTTCAAATCCATGCACAGCACCAAACAATCTGAAGTTGCTGGCTAGGGTTCTGAAAGTTTAGTGTTTGAATGGAAGAAGTTAGTGAATCTTTTGTCTAATTGGCAAATATCCAATAGTATTTTTTTCCTGGATGAACTTTTGTTGTCCTGTGTTACAGATGTCACCAATGACTTTTGGCTCTGTTGGACATTTTTCTTTTTCGAATTTAGGAACAATGAGATTTTAATTTTATTGTTAGAAATAGTGGAACAGGTCTTGAACTTTCCTATACTGTGTTGTTTTTACATGGTTCTAAGGTAACTCTTTGTTGTATACAATTACAGGCAGTAGATGCTATAGACAACGGCATCCATCAGTATGATACTGACCAGCCTCCAAGATATGTAAATAGTACTAGCTTGGGGCATAGGATTGGAAGGTTGAACTTAGACTGGATTGAACCTGATCAGTCTAGTGCCAAAGAAGATGAAGCATTTCATCGGGCAATGGAACTTGCTGGCTCTGAGTTTTTGGAGGTTTTTTCCCTTCGATATCTCCTTCAATTACAAATTATCTTTTGGCTCTTATTCTTCTCGGAAAAGAGTGCAACTAGGAAAAATGCTAGTACCCAAACCAAAAGTAGTTTGGTAAATTACTTTGAATGAATCAACCTAATGAGAATATGAGATGCTATTGGTTCTTATAACAAATATTTTTACGTCTGATCAAGAAATAACTTTGTTTGCCTGCTTATTTGAGTATGAATCGAGAATACAGCCAGACTGATTTCTAATGCGACCTGTGTTTCTACATTTTGGCAGTGTATTCATTTTCACGCGAAATCGTGGTTACCAGCTCGGTCAATTGTTATGGAGTGTCTTGCAAAACGGTATGATACAGACTCCAGTGGAGAAATTATGAAGCTCAGTAAACAATGTCCAGTAAGTTAAATTTAGCTCCTTTTACATATCATCTATGTTGTGGTTTGAGTTTAGAAATTTGCTAGGAAGATTAGAGTTAATAATATGATGGGATTAGTTTTCATAGTATTTGTGCAATTGACAGTGGAAACTTCATATATTCGAGCTCGAGGAAGAAATGAAGATTGATCCTCCCATAAAATATGTTCTTTACCAGGTACTACTGGCGTTTACGTAATGATCATATTATGCTGTAAGCGTAATATCTCTTAAGCCAATGAGTGTATATGTGGGTTTGTTCAGGATGACAGAAGTGAAAACTGGAGAATCCAAGCGGTTTCAGTTGCACCAGAGAGGTTTGAGAGCCGTAAAGCTTTGCCCTTATCATGGAGGGGTCTAGAAAAGGAGAAGCTCTCAGAGGAAAGTTCAATTCCGGGATGCGTTTTTGTGCACATGAGTGGTTTCATCGGTGCAAACCGGACCTATGAAGGTGCCTTAGCAATGGCAAGAGCCTCTTTGATGGCTTAGAATCTATGCATAACCAAAGATCAGTTCTTTGGATTGAACTGGATCCTCCTATCCCTATACATAGAATTTAAAAGGTCAAAATATCATGAAGACTGTCAAATACCTGAACAACAATTTTTGTATTAATTTTTGTTTTTCCTATATATATTCTAATTTCTCATCAGTGAAATTAAAAGGAGAAAAATGTTATAAAGACATATTCAGAAGTGTAAACTGTAAAACCTGTAAAACAATTTAAAAGTTTGCAAGAAAAGAAAGTAAAAGATGAAGTTTTTTGATTTGGCTGCCACTCATAATATAAAAATATCCTTTAAAATAACTTTAAATCGAAAATAATGTGATTTATATCATTGACCATTATTTATTGAAGTAATTATGTAAACAAAAATAAAAATAGCGAGACTCACACTCACCGACCTGACGCTTACGTGTACGATAACCGCGTTGTAGAGGATAATTCTACACTAATTGGTTTGGTACAATCGCGCATTCCACTCCGTGACATTTTCTTCTTCTTCTTCGTCTTCTCGGTGCTCTTAACTCTAACTCTGAGAGTAAGAGAAAGAGAGAGAGAAGCAACAATGGAGGTCTTCTACTATTTGGTGTTTGGAGCCATGGCTGCCATAGTGGCAGCGTTAGAGCTGAGCAAGACAAACAAGGATCGGATCAACACTTCATCTTCCTTCAATTCTTTCAAGAACAATTACCTCCTCGTTTTCTCTATTATGATGGGTACGTCTCTTCGCCTTTATCGCTTTGATTAACAAAATTGGCTTCAGCTCTCTCTAATTCATTATAGCGGAATCAGCTCTGTGATTGATTCGTCGGCACCTACAATTTTCGATTTCTGTTTCCTATCATGGATCCGATCTAAGTGATGTTGTGTGTGTCTTTCGTTTTTCGGAGTTTGGACGAGAGTTCATTTCTCGAATACTTCTTTTTTGTTTAATCGTCATCCACTTTTGTGCTAGATCGAATCCCGAAGCAGATACAATTGTTTGGGTTTGTTGTTGTAGCTCATACTAAATCTGGTGTTTGATTGGAATTTATCATAGTAGATGACCCAGCGCTCTTCGCAAATCTGGTATCAGTGATTGACACTATAATCTTAAGTTAGTCTGGCAGATTCGTTTCGTTTTGTGCATCATAGCTAGGTTTGATCGAATGTGCTGTAGTCTTGTAGATCAAAGGTTCTGATGAAGTTACTGTTGGTAGTATGTTGTGATTTTTTAATGGTTTTGATTAATTGAGCTAGATGATACTGTTATTACGATTTACGAATAATGAAGCAATTATTGATCGTAGTATGTTGTTTATTGAATGCATTTACGTATCACTTAATACTAATATGCTCGTGTTTACTATATATGATTATCTTGTTACAGCTGGGGACTGGCTTCAAGGTCCTTATGTGTATTACCTTTACAGCACTTATGGTTTTGGAAAAGGAGATATCGGTCAACTATTCATCGCTGGCTTTGGTTCATCAATGTTGTTTGGAACCATTGTTGGATCTCTGGCTGACAAACAGTGAGAATTTCTTCCTATTGAGTTTCAAGTCCGTGTTATCAGAGGAGAACTATGTTTAGGCAACTAATACCTTTGTGTGTGTTGGATATAGGGGTCGAAAGAGGGCTTGTGTTACATACTGCATAGTTTACATACTAAGCTGCATCACCAAGCATTCTCCACAGTACAGAGTTTTGATGGTTGGCCGTATCTTGGGTGGTATTGCTACATCGCTCTTGTTTTCAGCATTTGAATCCTGGCTAATTGCAGAGCACAATAAGGTCAGTCATAGCTTTTATACATAGTCAGTCTAGATATTCAATTTGGGTTTTTTTGTTTTTTTTTTAAGTTTGGTACCTACGGGAATTTCCTTAGATACTTTGTTATTGGTTTGATAGAAACATAGCATTCCCCCAAGGCCCCAACCCTTGTCTGTTTCTTGATTAGCTTGATGAATGCCACAGTTAAGATAATTATTTTTTGATGACAATAAATTTTATAGTATCTAGAACTGTCATTATGGACCTCAAAGTGTGTAGAACATGGCAAAGCTCACTTGCAATCTTTACCCAAAATTGCATAATTAAGAAAGTAAAGACTTATAACCTTTTAGAGTATTCACTTAGTTGAAGCCATGACCTGATGTGTTTTCTCTTTCCTGAACAATTATGCAGAGGAACTTTGAGCAACAATGGCTGTCGCTGACATTCTCTAAAGCTGTTTTCCTTGGGAACGGTCTAGTCGCTATTCTCTCGGGGTTGTTCGGCAATCTTCTTGTTGACACTTTTTCCTTTGGTCCTGTCTCTCCCTTTGACGCAGCTGCGTGCTTTCTTGCAATTGGAATGGCCATCATACTGGCGACATGGTCTGAGAATTTTGGAGATCCATCTGATAGCAAAGACTTACTGACTCAGTTCAAAGTTGCTGCCATAGCGATTGCTTCAGGCAGGTTCAAATTTAGCGTTAAAACTGCTGAATCTGAGGCTTCAGCTCGTCCAATCCTGCATTGAACTTGCAAGCTATGTTTATCTCTCTAACACAGTCTATGATGATTTCTCAGATGAAAAGATTGCATTGCTGGGCGCTATTCAGTCTCTATTTGAAGCCTCAATGTACACCTTTGTTTTCCTCTGGACACCAGCTCTTAGCCCAAACGACGAAGAAATCCCACATGGCTTCGTCTTTGCAACCTTCATGTTGGCCTCAATGTTGGGAAGCTCTCTTGCAGCTCGCTTTATGTCTCGCTCATCTCTTAGAGTCGAAAACTACATGCAAGTTGTCTTTCTAGTATCCGCTGCATCACTTCTTCTTCCCATTACAACAAGTGTATGTCTTAGAGTCTGAAGCTTCATTAGTCATTACTACTCTTTAAGTTTATACTATCTTTGATATGAACGCTTTGGGGGACAGGTGTTGGTGACGCCATCAAAGGTGAAAGAGGAAGGCTTGTCGTTAACTAGCTCAATTCAGCTACTTGGTTTCTGTGTATTCGAGGCTTGTGTCGGAATATTTTGGCCTTCGATAATGAAGATGAGATCACAGTATATACCTGAAGAAGCACGAAGCACCATAATGAATTTCTTCCGTGTTCCGCTCAACATATTCGTCTGCATCGTCTTGTACAATGTAAGAGACCTCATGTCAATTTACTCTTTACATTACAGAGAGTGAGCAAAAGGGCTAGTCTGGCAAAAATAAATTGTTTTTGTTATCTGGTTTCTCAGGTGGACGCATTTCCAATCACAATCATGTTTGGTATGTGCTCAATCTTCCTCTTTGTAGCCTCCATATTACAACGGCGGCTTATGGTCATCTCCGAAAAGCCAAGTGCGTTCGTTAATTCTCTTATTGTCTTACTGGCCATTTTTGTTTAAGGAGTGTAACAAAAATAAACGCTATTAGTTTGTTTGTGGTAAATGGTAATGTTACTTACTATAGCTCTCTGTATGGTTTGTTGCAGAGGCAGAAGAGTGGAGTCCGATGAAGGAGCGAAACTCGGAAGTTGATCCTCTTAACCTCTGATCATGTTCCACTCCTGTGCTCGTAATTCCTAAATTCAATTTTTTTTTGGTGATTTTCATTCTTTTTTTTTTTTTTTGAGAAATAGAGAAAGAAACAATCAGAAGGAAGAAAGGTAATGGTTTTGCATTTAGCTTTTTACATGTATGGTTAGTGATGCTGATTGTTTGATAGGGTATGTAACTCTATATTCACCAACTTTACGCACAATCAAATCTTATAATTTTACAGAAATTTTCGTTTAAAGTTTTCTTTCTCGAATATATATGAGATTTGACAGTAGTGTATCAGAGTTTTGTTCCTTATAACCAGACTGAGGACAAAATTGTAATGGTTTTGTTATTGTCTCTTGTTTTTATTTGTCAAGAAAATGCAATATGTAATGGTATGAGATCGTGTGATTGACATAACAATGACACTAACACAAGTCACTAGACATATTTCGTATCAGAATTTGAGGTTATGAGATTGCAAAGTTAGCAACTGATACAAAGAAACATGTTGTCTAGTAATATAAAAACTTTATACAGAGTGTCCATGCTTCTCCCATGTAAAACTTCTGAAGCATCGATCTTTTCTTTTCCTTTGGGATGATCGTGATCGTTAAATGTTTTAACAAATTAAATGTTATATTTGTCATTTAATTTCCATATAAAGTGGATATATTTAGTGTCAAATTTTAAAATAATATTCAGCTTTTACGTATTATGTAAATGATATGTACATGTTAAAAACAAACTTCAATATTTATACCGTAACTAGGTTTTAACCCATGGTACACCGCGGGACAATTTTTTTGACTAAAATATTTATATTCAAATTATATTTTTTAATTTTCTTTAGTGTTTAAAATTGTGTAACTGTATTTTGATTGTGAATTTTACTACTTATAAGCTCGTTGGATAATTTTTTGTAACTAATTTTTTTTATTACTTATAATCATATTTATATAAACTCAAATCCGTTCAATCAAATTTATGTAAATTCAAACCCATTCAATAAAATATAATCATAGTTATAAGCATATTAGTCTTATTTATAATTTTTTTAAACCATTGTCTAAAATTTTCTACCCGATGTGTAACGTTGTACATTTTTTTTCTTTATGATTCAGTAATATATGTCCGTTTTCAAAAATTCAAATTACAACATATGCGGGAAAAAATATTTTGATTATACATATGTTATATGTAATAATATAAATTTTTAAACAAATAAGATCATATAAAGTTATTTGAGAGATATTCAATTTATTAGGGAGATATTTTAGGAAAATCGAAGTAGTTGTAGATCTTTTACAAATTTAAACCTTATAGTTAATAAAATTATAGAAATGGCAAGGCTTTATGATTGCAAATAATACAAAATAAAAGGTTACTTTCCAAAAGGTACTTCAAAAATGTTAATATAGATTTTACTATTTCTCTACCTACTTAAAACTTCAAAGTCATTTTTGCCTATATCAAAAAGTTTAAAATATTTTTTCCATTGATTGTTAACATTTCAGCTACTTAATTTTTGTATATAATCAATCAAATTTTCCATATTAATTACATTGATATCAAGCGTGATACGATATGGATTTATTGGTCCATTAAGAGAGGATGAGATGCTATAAATGGGAGATCGATTTCACCATGAGAGAACATCTTATTCTTTGTCAAATTAAAGCCCCTTAATTAGCAAACTTTAATTCATCAACAAACAAGCAAGGATGAAGTTGGTGCTTTTCTTCTCGCTCTTGCTCATCATGTTTTCATCGTTTTCCTCAGGTAAATCACTTGTTAAAACTAATAAAAGTAAACCGCTCATAAAATTACACCACATTGATTAAGTTTAAAGAGTAACAGTTTTGTATCATATACAAGAAAATTGTCAAAATTAGACTTGTTAGTTAGTCTTTACTATGAAAAATACATAAGACATAGCCAAGTAATAATTATATATATCGACGTCTTTACATTTTGTTTTCTTAGGGTTTAAGGCGAACAATGGAGTTACGTCCGTTGATCAATATTCCTCAGACAAGGTAATTAATCAGTAAAACAAAATACTTTTTTTTTCAGTAAAGGAAAGAAATATGTTTAACTTTCCATAATTTTATTGACTAATAATAATTATTGTCAAAAAAGTTTTATTTTAATAAACTATTGTTGTTATTGTTGGGTGGGTGGAAAAACAAAAAAAGGGTAATGTAGAGGTTGAAGAGAGTGGTGAGAGTTTGATGGACTATCCAGAACCAGGTGCAAACACACCTGGACGGCGTTTTCGTGGACGTCCTCCGCATCCTAAGAAGAAGAAGAAGAATTAATGTATGTATAGGATATCTAATTAATGTATAATATTAATGTATAGGACAGAGGTAATCTATAGGATAGAATAATTAATGTATAATATTAATGTATAGGATATCTAATTAATGTATAATATTAATGTATAGGACAGAGGTAATCTATAGGATAGAATAATTAATGTATAATATTAATTAGATTACCTCTGTCCCAGAATAAAAAGTAGTATATGATATTAAAGGGAAGAAATATTTTAGCATATTTTATTTATAAACACACATCCTTCAAAAATATTTATGTGGAACATAATCCAAAAATCAAAATTGGTTGAGTTACAGGTTTATTATCGTGATAATTAAAAAAAACAAATAATATATTGAAACAATTATTTTTATTAAAAAAAAAGATTAAAACTATTGACCAGTGACAAGTTTATTTATTTTTATTTTTTATCTGATTAATTTGACATTTTACATATCATATAAATATTTTATTTTCTAATCGTTGATTAACCATCATAATTCTTAGTTTATCTGTGGTGGTGGTGGCCGCGTAGGACGACCCCAACCAGTCGGTTTTATCTGATTTGGGCCTGGTGGCACAAACCAACTGGTCGGTTTTATCTGATCATGGTTTGGTGGCGGTGGTCGGATAGGACGACCCCAACCTGTCGGTTTTATCTGATTGGGGCCTGGTGGTACAAACCAACTGGTCGGTTTTATCTTATCATGGCTTGGTGGCGGTGGTCGGATAGGAATGCCCCAAGCAGTCAGTTTTATCTGATTGGGACCTGGTGGCACAAACCAACTGGACGGTTTTATCTTATCGTGGCTTGGTGGCGGTGGCTGTGGACGACCCGAGATGATTGGTTTTATCTCATCGTGGCGTCCTTCAGATCCTAAAAGAGAAAAGTTGAATTCAATAAATAACCTATTATTGTTTATAAGTGTAAAATCGGTGATAAGCAGACTAAATCTTTGATATTAATAATGTAAAACTATCTAATTGTATTATTTAAAATATTCTCAAATTACTTGAAGAACAAAATGGAAGAAGAAGTAAGAAGGACATGAGAACCATGAGCTTCATCTTTGAAAGCATTTTTATATATGAGAACACCAGATATATATTTCAGTTTTGTTGTTTGGAAGAGTGACACAAACTTCTCTTTATATATAAACATACACAAGTTCATAGTCATCTGTTGGTGCACTACACATTGACTACCATTCAAACTAAATCTTTTGGTTAAAAATTTTCTTTTCTTGGTAATTAATTAACATATTTACAACTAGTCAACATATTTTTAATTGGTTTTCCAAATGTCATAAGTAAATTATAAAGGAATATTTGAATTAAAATGATACTTTTTCCAATTTTGTTCATCTATGTTTTTTGATGTTTCTTAAGAGGATGATTTTGGTGCCTTGTTCTTAGCTGAATATTAGCGTTGTGATGTGTTTTTTTTTGGTGTGGGAGCTGCTATTGAGACTGTTCTTGCTAGTGAGGAGTGCATTCAACATTAGTGTAATCGAATTGCTATCAAAGTTTTTACCTTTTAACTCTGCTACTTGAACAAGGTTTTCATTTTCTTGTGTTTGGTATTTTTTAGATTGGTTCATATTATAAACACTTACGGAGTAGACTCTTTCATTTCTTGTGTTTCAATCATGTCCTTATGATGATGATGTGTTGTTCTTTCTCAACATTCATATGTTCATTCACTCACTCTAAACCTGGATTCATTCTCAGTGAGGCAGGCTTCTATACCCTTTTTTAGTTCTCTGCAATCAATGAATATATTATGACAAATTTATTAATGATTATCAAAATCACTATCTTTCGGCTGAGATTGCAGTAGTTTTCTCTATGTTCATATCTTAACTTGCTTTGTCTTGTTTGTTGTCTTGTTTGTTGTCTTGTTTGGTGATCATTGCGTACGGTATCTGATGTCCAAAGTTCAAACGTGATTGGAAGTTTATGTACACATCAATTAGGGTAGGGAGATTTGTATGCAACTTGTTTTAGTGGATTTAGGCAAATTGGTTGTGTAACTTTGTATTGATAAGACAGACATGGTGAAAGGTAGCAGTGATGATTATGACTACAGTATATTAGTTAGTTTCATAATAGTTGTATCTTGAGAGTTATTTTTGATCTTAACTTGTTATTTTGCACTTTCACATCCATAACATTTTTCAGTTTTTTTTTATATGGATATTGTTCTGCTGCCTTTTCTTAGTCTCTAGTTGCATGGGACTTTGTGAGTTAACCATAGTTTTCGTTTAGTAATTTGAGTCTCTGTACTAGTAGTTTCTTTGGTAGAGATAGCAGTAAGACACTTTTTCATGGAGTTTTTGTATTGATCTACAATTTACATCATACTAGATTAGGCATTTGCACATTGTTTCTATCTGATGATGTACGTCAATTCCTTCATGATCTTGTCTCCTCCTTTCCAGTATCTATTAAGGAGATGGCAGCTAAAACAAAAGACAAGAAAAAAATTAGTAAAAGTGGAAGACTAAGGAAGAGGAGAAGACATAATTATATATAGACATTTAATTTGTGTTGTTGTTGTTGCTGTAGTCATATATTCAATTTAAACAAAATAAATTCTAGCTAAGTCATTAGTATAATTTTCTAATCAATCTAATATTTTTCACTTGTGGCTCAAATCCATCACTATTCATGAATGGTGTTCCTTTGAATCATATTTTTTAGATTTCCAAATTTCCATAATATTTATTTATTATTTTGGTTTGATTTTTTCCTCTTTTCTGAAGAAAAAAAAAACGATTCTTTTCTAAATACGTTTTGATATTTTTGGAAAACTAATTAACAATTTGATGACTAATTGTAAATTTGCTAATTTTACTGAAAATAAAATCTGTAATCAAAAAAGATCTGTTGATAAAATATCTATTTGCCAACACATTTTTTCCACCACCGGTAACTCTACGAACATGTATATGTTATATATAGCTATAGAAGCATGCGTTACTCTTCTAACTCAACAGAACCAAAACATATTTCTTGTGATCTCCGAAAAAACAAAAACAAAAAAATGCTTTCAAAAATGAAACTGGTGGCTCTCATGTCGTCGTTGTTGCTCCTTCTTCCATTGTGTTCTTCAAGTAATTTGATAATGTTTTGAATCATCTAATTGTATAACTTTACATTTTTAATATCAAAGATCTATTCTGATTATTTCATACTTATAATCTGATAATATGGCTGTTTACTGAATTCACTTTTTCTCTTTTAGGGTTTGTAGAGAGCCATGAAGATGGAGTTCTTCACACCGATCAATATTCAGTAAATATGGTAAAGCAAATATCATTAAAACCAAAATGCATATTTTCCATAGATTTTTCTTTTATTTTCTCTCTTATTAGTTCATAATCAATATTTTCAGTCACTTCAGAATAGATTTGCATAAATAAATTGTTGTGAAATTTTTCACCAAAACAAGAAAAGTAATATAGGTTGAAGAGAGTATTCCGAAGTTGATGGATTATGCGGAACCAGGCCCAAACCCAAGACACGATCCAACAAAACCCGGTTATGGTAGTCCTCCGCCACCACCGCCACCGCATATGAACTAAGAATCATGATGATGAAGCAAAGATATGAGAAACTTGATCAAAGATAATAAACTTGTTACTCAACAAATTTGATCTACAGAACATTTTCATCAATTTGGTTTTAAAAACATGCACTGATAAAAATTCTCGATGATGCAAATGTCTACCAATATGTTCATTTATCGTTTAGTAATTGTTTTGTTCATAGATTTTTTTAAAAGATTACATACAACTCATAGAAAAAGTTCACAGGTTAATTCCTCCTTGACATGTATAACCAGAACTGCGAAGTCTAATATGTGTGAAGCTAAAAGAAAAAAAAAACCCCATATTAATTCATATTTTTATCACTCTTGAAACGTATGATTTGACTCTGCCACTACACATGCAATATCAATTAAATCTAGTCAGAAAAACCAATACTGAAACGTATAAACGGTAACACTACTCTCTTACCACTAATAAAGACTTGTGCTTCACCACTTGCACCTACTCAAGCTTTAAATGTTTGATGCACCATTGAAAACTATGAGTAATAAGATTGAACAATTAAAAATAAAAAATCAGCAACTTTTTGAACCAAGCTTTAAAAGAGCGAAAGAGAAACCAAACCAACTAGAAAAAAAAAAAATTGATTCATGGAATGAGTACGACATAAATATTTTGACATTTTTGTTTTATAAATAAGATATGATAAATATTCTAAATACACTTTTTTCCTATAACTATGTACAAGAGATTATATCATAAGGGTGATAGTTATCAAATTCAACATTGTTTCTTTCTTGGCATTCTATCTTTCATTTTGCATAACCATAATGAGATAAAACCGACCAGTTGGTATATGCTACCAGGTCCGATCAGACAAAACTGACTGGTTGGGGACATCTTATCTGACCATCGTTACCAAACCATGATGAGGTAAAACCGATCAGTTAGGATTTTCCTACGCGGTCGCCATCACGGTATATGAATTAAGAATTATGATGTTGAATCAAAGATTTGAATATACAATGGTTTTATGATATGTGAACTGTCAAAGTAGTCAAATTTAAAAAATAATATGATATAATAAATTTGGTCAAACTAGTCATTTGTTTGAATCCTTTATTGATAAAATTTGTTTCAATATTTTATTTTGTTTCCTTAATTACCATGATAATAAACCTGTGACTCAACCATTTTCAAACATAAATATTTTAAAGGTAATGTTTTATAAACTGGATGTGTTAAACTGTTCATCTCTCCAAATAATAACATATATATTTAATAAACTATTAAATAAATGAAAATAATTTCTTTTTGTAACAAGATATGTTTTTAAAGGAACTTAAAATTCATTAAACTAATAAAAATGAATTCTATTTAAAACTATATGGAACACTTTACTTTCTAATATTTTTATAAGTTTTGAATAATTTAGGTGAATTTTAAAAAAGTTATTATGACATTTTTTTTTAAATGATTTTCCTCATTTTATGAAAAGAGTTTAGATACTTTTGGTAAACAAATCCACAATTTGATGAATAGTTAAGTTCATTTTCTGAAAAGAAAATCTTTAACCAAAATATTTAGTTTGAGTTGTAGTAAGTGCATCGTTATTTAGACCAATTGGCATATACATTTGATAAGATATTATGATTTGTTATTAAAAAAACACTCAAAATAGAAATTGACATATGTTGACCAACTTACATCTTATCACTTATATATTTTATATATCCATTAACACATAAATTTTCTCCAAATTTTAGAGTGAAAAAATTTCATTATAATTATTTTCATTGGTCCATGCATTGAATAAAGTACCATTCTATGTGCGTAAATAGAATGGTGTAAGTCAAAAATTCAAAGTTAACATTTGTAGTTAAGCTTCAAAGATTTTAATAAAACTGAGATACGATTGAACATTTTAAAAACTATGAACACTTGGATCGTAACTATCACTTCACTGTTTCATCGTTTTCACCCACATAAGTATTTTCTGCTTTTTTCATTATCCTTCTCTTTCAGATGGAAACTTCAGAAACAAATGATGCTTTTGTTATACCCTAAACCTCCATCTTCATACCTATTTCATTATATATTTTCCAAGAACACTTTGAAAATTTTAACTTTACGAACCAATCTCTCTATTCTTTTGGTATTCGTGCTACTTAAGACATCAAATTTAAACTTTCTCATTGAAATCCAACTCTCCATATCAAAACTGATGAAACTAAATTCTAAGTGCACTTTTCATTTAGTCAAGCTCCAAATCATTGTTTTAAAGATGGATTTGTATAAAATTTTATTGTATAATACAAAAGTAACCAAAAAAGTATACCACAAAAATAGATCATAGGGTAAATCACTATATATATGTACACATACATATATAACAAAAATACATTATGTGATTGATTAAAGATAGTAAATCTATGTGCCCATATATATGATAAGATCTTCAATTATTATTTTTATTAATTAATTATGATTGTGTGTTTATTGTATTTATATAGTTAATTAAAGTATTTGCCTAATATTTTAATTTTTGGAAATCATTAGTCAAAATGGAAAATTACTATTCATGAGTGGTTTTCCTTATTACATAAACTTTTAGATATTCAAGTCTCCTTATTAATTAAATTTTGGAAACCCAATTAAAATTTTGTTGACTAATTGTAAATATGTTAATTGCCAAGAAAGAAAATTTTCAACTAAAAGATTTAGTTTCAATTTGTAGTCAATGTCTTGTGCACCAATGGATAACTATGAACCTATGTATGTTATATATATATAGAGAGAATTTTGTGTCACTCTTCCAAACAATAAAACCAAAACATATATCTTATGTCCTCTGAAATAAAAATGTTTTCAAAGATGAAGCTAGTGATTCTCATGTCGTTCTTGATCCTTCTTCCATTGTGTTCTTCAAGTAATCTAAGAATGTTTAAATAATATCATTAGATATTTTACATTATTAATATCAAAAATCTAGTATGACTATTACCGATTTCACACTTATAATATAAAAATAAGTTGTTTATTGAATTCCTCTTTTCTCTTTAGGATCTGAAGAGAGCCATGATGAGACAAAACCAACCATTTCGGGTCGTCCACAGTCACCGCCACCAAACCACGATGATACAAAACCAACCATTTCGGGTCGTCCACAGCCACCGCCACCAAACCACGATGATACAAAACCAACCATTTCGGGTCGTCCACAGCCACCTCCACCAAACCATGATAAGACAAAATTGAACGGTTGGGGTCGTCCTGCGCGGCCACAAAAAAAAAACCACGATGAGACAAAACTGACTGGTTGGGGTCGTCCTATCCGGCCACCGCCACCAAGCCATGATGAGACAAAACCAACCATTTCGGGTCGTCCACAGCCACCACCACCAAGCCACGATGAGACCAAACTGACTGGTTGGGGTCGTCCTATCCGGCCACCGCCACCAAGCCATGATGAGACAAAACCAACCATTTCGGGTCGTCCACAGCCACCACCACCAAGCCACGATGAGACCAAACTGACTGGTTGGGGTCGTCCTATCCGGCCACCGCCACCAAGCCATGATGAGGCAAAATTCACTGGTTGGGGTCATCGACCACCGTCACCAAACCATGATGAGATAAAACTGACCATTTCGAATGTGCCACCTAGTTGGGGTGGGGTCGTCTTACGCCACCACCACCTAGGATGAACTAAGATTTATGCTGATGAATCATATTTTCAAAATATGATTTTTTAAATGATATGTGAACTCTCAAAGTAATCAAATTAAGAAAATAAAATGTTATAATAAACTTGGTCTAACTGGTCAATCGTTTTTTTTTTTTTCTTAATTATCGCGATAATAAACATGTGACTCAACCAATTTCAATTCTTGGATTATGTACGATATATATATTTTGAAGGTTGTGTTTTATTAATAAGATATGATAAACTATTCATCTCTTAGTAATAACGTATATATTTAATAAAAATTATTAAATCAAATAATAATTAAAATTTTTTGAATAATAAGATATGTTTTGTAAGGAATTTAAAAGTCATGAAACTAATAACAATGATTTTAGCGGGATTTACAAAAATAACTTTTTGAGTTACCCTTTTGTATAATTATCCTCCTCTGGTGTCCATTTTCAAAAATATCATATTCTAGGTGCAAAATGACTAAATTACACTTCTTTAGTAAACCAAAGATGAAAAAAAAATATTGCATCAAATAAAAATAATATTCCTTCCAAAAAATTTCTACCAAATTTCCCGCCAAAATATTTTTTGCCAAAATTATTCCTTAATTCCATAAAAAAAACCTTTTAAAAAATCTTGTAAATATTTTTATAAACCCTTGCAAATCCCTTTAAAACTCTTATAAATTCTTTTTAAAGTCCCTGTAAATCTTTAAAAACCATTTAGAAACCCTAGTAAACCCTTTAAAATCCTTTATAAACTTCAAAAACTATTTAAAAACTCTTGCAAATCACTTTAAAAACCAGTTAAAACCCTTGTAAATATTTTCAGAACCATTTAAAAATCCTTGTAAATTTTAAAAAACCCTTTAAAAATCTTTTAAAATTCGTGAATGGTGTTCCTTATTAATTATATTTTTAGATATTCAAATTTCCTTATTATTTATGTATAATTTGCTTATGATTTTTGGAAAGCCATTAAAAATTTGTTGACTAATTGTTAATTTATTAATTTTCAAGAAAGAAAATCTTTAACTAAAAGATTCAGTTTAAATGTGTAGTCAATGTGTAGTGCACCAACGGATAACTATGAACCTGTGTATGTTATATATATAATGTGTAGTGCACCAATGTGTAGTGCACCTAAAATCTATGTTGCACAATAAAAAAAAAAACTAAAACTATGGTAAAGACCACTTTGGCTCTGGTTTGATCATCACAGTACAGTTGATATATTGGTTGAGTACTACTATTTACCTGCTTAGTTTAGTGAGGGGAGATTAAAAAACAAAAAAAAAGAAGCAATTTGATGTGCAATTGTGGTCGTAGATAGATTCTTCAAGTCCTGAGAAATAGAGCAAGCAGTTGAAAATTCATAATCTACCGGAAGACCATTAGAAAAGAGCGTGGTTTGATGCATAGCGACCTCGTCATAATTCGATGCTTCGTGGGAGTCGGCCTCGGGCATTGAAACCGCTTCACTCTTTTGTTTCTTTCGATAGAGAAGAAGCGGATTCTCATGTCTGGTTTTCCCTGTCACTGTAGAAAATTTGTTGACTATATTAATTTCCAAGAAAGAAAATCATTAACTAAAAGATTTACTTTAAATATGTAGTCAATGTGTAGTGCACCAACGGAAAACTATGAACATGTGTATGTTATATATATAGTGAAGTTTGTGTCACTCTTCCAAACAAATAAAACCAAAATATATATCTTATGTCATCAGAAACAAAAATGAAAATGCTTTCAAAGATGAAGATGGTGGTTCTCATTTCGTTCTTGCTCCTTCTTCCATTGTGTTCTTCAAGTAATTTGATAATGTTTTAAATAATATATTTTGATATTTCTTATTAATATCAAAGATTTAGTCTGATTATTACGGATTTCACATTTATAATATAATATAATAAGTTGTTTATTGAATTCACTTTTTTTTTAGGATGTGAAGAGAGCCACGATGAGACAAAACCAACCATTTCGGGTCGTCCACAGCCACCGCCACCAAACCACGACGAGATAAAACCTAATAATGGGATGGTAGAGAGTCGAAATCTAATGCAGCACGAGTCTATCTCGCATGTGATGAACCAAGAAACAGTGTATCCGCAAAAACAGCCATGTCCTCCTGGGTGTTACTGGGTATGTGACTTAGCATTTGGAGGTTGTAAATGCATTTGTTAGATTCTCCTATATATTTGGACCTTTGGTGTAATGAGATATAATCTATATATTTTTTTTGGTAAGAAAATATAATCTATATATATATATATATCAACCCTAATTAAAATAAATATATATTTGGATCTTTGGTGTAACAAAACTAAAATCTATGTTGTACAATAAAATAAAATAAAACTAAAACTATGGTAAAGACCACTTTGGCTCTGGTTTGAACATCGCTTTACAGTTGATACATTGGTTGAGTACTACTATTTACTGGCTTAGTTTGTGAGGGGAGAAGCAATTTGATGTACATCTGAACCGGAAATAACCAAAAAAAAAAAAATTCTGTGTTCGTTTGGTTTCAAGAATTGTAAAATTGCATTCACAATTAATAGAAATCCGGTGTACATTACCGTTACAACAAAATAAAAAGTATATATTTTTCTCTATATTTTGTAATGTATTAATATATAAAAAGAAGAGTGAAAATTACAATTTTCCGGTTTAGTAAAGCGGAAAACCGGTATTGGCATTTCAGTATTCATCCAAGAAAGTGTAGAGAGTGTCGTCTTTCTTGGTTTTGCGTCGGCTAAGCAAAGCCTTGAGTAGTCGTTTGCTCTTGCTAGGTTGTTGCTGCTCTGTTTCTTTCTGGTTTTCTTTCTCGAATGCCACCCGGACCGAAGCTGATCTTCTTGGTTCTGATGGATGCTGGAAAATGTAAAAGAAGAAGAATCAAGAAGAGATAAGATTAATGAAACAAACAACTTTTGGTATTGAACTGAAGCTCTTTATACCCGTATAGGTGTTATAGATCTGCTCTTGCTTGGTGTCGTTGGTCGGCTGATTGATGCTGACTTCCGAGTAGCGACTGATCCTGATCTTAGTAGCGGAAACCGATGAGGTGAAACTGATCTCTTATCTGATTATAGCACACCACAACAATGAATAAAAGATCGGGTATTTAGATTGTAATCTAGCAGGAAAAGAAAACCAAGCTATATCGGTTCTTACCTTGTTCTTTCTTCGGAATGGTAGAGGTAAATGAAAAGGTTGCTGATCGTTGAGGTGGTAGCCGCGGAGATGAAGTCTGAGATGTCGATTTTCTGCAAAGGTTATTAGATTGAAACACGGTTAAAATCATCTCGTTTCACATTACTTTTGTTTTCTAAATATGTTTTCCTGAGCAAGCGTTTGGTGTTTGTACCTTACTGGCAGTGGAGGTGTTTCCCGGATTGTAGCACGAACAGCTTTAAAAGAGCGAGAGAGATACCAAACAAGTTAGGAAGATATCTTGAATCTTGGATTTTGGAATTTGTACAAAAGAAACAGAGAAAAAACCAAACTACCATTTCGAAATTGGTTCCAGTCATCTGCATCCTCTAAACTACTTCCAAAGTACTTGAGCTTTTCAAGATTGGTAGCAGTCATAATTTCACCCGCTGATAAAGAATACATCTTTTGCTTGTGAGGCCCTGATATTTATAACGGTGTGTGTGTGAGAAAGAGAGAGAGATAGAGAATTTACCAGGTAAGATGTATCTCTTATGGAACTTCGGAGTATCAATCACAAGTGATTGCTGTGAACGCCCTTCATGATCCATATACTCTTGGCACATCCTTAGCCTCTAACCACCATCCAAAAAAAAAGTCCCACATAAACACACAAACTCAGTAACCAGAAGAAGAAAAATCGACGTCACAAAGAACCTAAAGTATGAACCTTTATGGATAAAGACAAGTTTCTTGAGGAACCTTTATACCTGTTCGATGCAAGACACTCGAAGTTCGGTCTCTGCAACTTCATCAACTTTTTCATCGATAAAGTCATTCACTTTATATGTAACAGAGCCTAAATGGTCAACTGTATTCACCAGAGCCTTCACTGCATAATCTTTCAGAGTCTCTACAACTCTGCATTAACAGCAACTGAGAATAACCGAGAAAAAAAGGTTTTTTAATGACACAACTAATCTGAAGCGGTGCTGAAATACTAACTCACATCTGCTTTTTGTCATCAGTAGTGTAAGATAGTTCAAAATACTCAGCTGCTGAATACAATTGTGCTCGTAGATTCTTCAAGTCCTGAGAAAAAAGACAAGCAGTTAAGCTTCAAAGACATTTTTAAAACTGAGATATGATTGAACATTTTAACAACTAACAAATCTTGATCGTAACTATCATTACACTGTTGCATCGTTTTCACGCATAGAAAGTATCTTTGTGCTTTATTTCATTATCCTTCTATTTCAGATGGAACTTCAGAACCAAATGATGTTTTTGCAAATTCATAATCTACCTGAAGACCATCAGAAAAGAGCATGGTTTGCTGCATAGAGACCTCATCATAGTTCGATGCTTCGTGGGACTCGGGCATTGTAACCGCTTCACTCTTTTGTTTCTTTCGACCGAGAGGAAGCAGATTCTCAAGTCTGGCTTTCCCTGTCACTGTGGAAAAAAGGAGAAATTACCAAACAAGAATGCAGATAAACCTCAATCTTTATACCTGTTTCATTTTATATTTTCCAAGAACACTAGAAAACCACAGTTTTCTGAATTACATATGAACCAAAACGTGGAAAAGTATCATTTCGAAATGCTATAATCAGAAAGACATAAGAAGCTACAAGCAAATCTATTCATCTACAAAGATATGAGAGAGTACACAACTTCTAAGTGTTAAAGTAACAAGCATTAAAGAGATTGTGATATGTTAACCTGAGATTAAAAACTCTTTTCAAGAACAGGATCAATTTTATCAGACAAAACATCCTTTGATTCATTACAATCTATTGATTTGCAAAGAAATGTTGCCTTTTAAATAATAATAAAACAAGACTATTGCTTTTGATTCATAACTAACCTAAATAAGAAGAAACAGACAAGAAGTAGAATCCAATCCAGAGGTCTCAAAAGCAAACCAATAGTTTGATCTGAAACAAACATCATAGATCTTCTTTGAATCTTTTATTAGTACAGTACTCTATTAAAGATTATAAAAAATTCCCAGGAAGGAGACTATATGGATTAAACAATACACAAAAACAAAAAGAGAAACTTTGAGAGTAGGTGCAAAATGTTTATATTTCTCAAGAACAATAAAAAAAAAGGCAAAAGCTTTAACTTGCTATATATCGTGAGAGAAGAAGTAAAGCAAAAACCCAATTCAAAAATCACAAGCTAAATCCTAAAGAACCCAAAAAAAAAGTCTCGACCTTTTCAAGCTAATTCCAACTGAAACTTTTAGATGATGAGAGTGGAATCAAACCTGTGGCGATTGTTCAGTCTAAATCTCTTTCGTATTGGTGTATCTGCTGACTCGAAGGAGAGATCTCCAATTCGTCTGAGGAAAAATGAAAGATTTGAAGACAGTAACGGTTCGGGTTTCGACAGAGGAGCAAAAGAGGCAAATGTGAATTAGATTAGGTGGGAGATTTGAAGGAAGGAAGTGAGCGATGATGATGATGATGATGATGATGATGATGATGATGATGTTGGTATATAGACTATAGAGTGAGTATAGAGAGAACTCAAAACCTGAGACTTAACCCACTTTTGTTTTGTCCCATCATTTGCGGAGAGAAACGCTCGCTCTTTTTTGTTCCCCTCGTTTCTGTTTTTTTGGCTATTTTTTCTGTTATTTTTCTTTCTTTAAAAAAAAATTAAAATTCTCATATATGCATTTGATTTAACAAATTCCAAAATAAAAAGGTCAAAATTCATATTGTATTATTTTTTTGTCATCTGTTTTTTTATTAGTAATGCAATAAATAATTTATTTTCAATATATAGCAAAAACACTAAATATCTTGAAAAATTACAAACTCTAAAAAGAAAAAAAACCTAAAATATAAACAAAGAAATCGAAGTAACTAAATAATCGAGCTCGTAAAACGAAACCACCAAAGATGAAACAAAAACTGAAGATATGGAAAATCTCTTAGGAAAAACAAACTTGCCAAACTCACTCCCTCACCAATGTCAAACTCAAATGCTTTGCTGGTAAATCCTTAAAAAGTTACCATCATCTATAGTGTGATTTGAACTCCAATATTTGGACTTTGGAGGAGAAGTGGTCAATATACTTTGTCGCAACAGATTTCAGCTGGCTTGAGTCATTGGACCTTGTGCAGCTATACTCAACTTATATATGAACATATTGAATCAAATGAGATAGTTTTATTGATTAATCACATTGGCTTTGTGGATAGTTAAATTGCTGTTTAGATGGTAAAACTTTTAACAACTAGAAAATAGTAATATAACAGTAGATGTGAATGTGATCATCATACTCAAAACAGCTAGATGATTAAATATAGTTCTTTTTTTCTTTGTGTAAATTAATTTATTTGTAAGTAACAAGCTTATGAGTTATGATCATGTCGTCTGGTAATTTAGGATACCAACATTTTTAACGAAAATAACTTTTGAGAGAAAAGAAAGAAAAAAAAAAAGTGAAAATGAAAACAAAAAGAAACATGCAATGATTTTAGCTACGCACGTCTTTGGACAGCCATGTAAGTCTTGACTACTTTTTGAAATGAAAACTATGATTCCATGATCTTTTAGTTATTATTTCTATTTATCATTCTTGTTTAACTCGGAAACATTATCAATCACATAGTGCTTTTCGAGTGGTTACTAATGATGATATGAAACGATCATCATTTTGTGCAAATTTATATCATCAGTTACTTCCTATCACCAACAAAACTTTTTGGTGCAACTAATTAAACCTGCAATTCATTTTCTTTCAATTGCATCATTTTTAATAAGAAGTTTTAAAGTCTTACGCATATTCAAAGTAGAATTAGGATTTTCCTTTTTAATTAGACCGTGACATTAAAAACTTGAGATGACATGTTACGTTCCATTATTAATGTCATATACAATTATGTAACAACGAAAATATATTTCAAACAAAGACAATTAACCAACCACACCACATGTAAGTTTTTATTCAAGATTTAAGATACTTTCTTTCTAATGATCATGCCTCCAACCTCTCTTTCCAAACCCGGTAGGACTTTGACTAGGACTAACCGGCTTACGTCGGATATCAGATTTTGGGTTAGGACTCCTAGGACCAGGGTAACTTGACGTTATTGCTCCACCTGAACTTGAAGAATCACAACCCGATCCATTGATCGACCCGTTTTTCGTGGAGGAGTTCCAATAGGGCATAAAAGAAGTTCCATGTAGCTTTCCTGTTGTGCCTTGGTCTCGGACTTTGGCCTTTGCAGATGCTGTTGGAGCCATGTAGCTTGGTATATGTGTTGGGCTTTTCCGTTGCTTATGGCTTTGTCTATATGATCCTAAGTCTATATACTCTCGATCGATAAGACCGATTATATTGTCCTTGAGGCTAGTGGGAGTGGCCATGTCCATTTCCACGGTCTTTTCCGATACATCATCAGATGTAATTGTGGTTGCCGCGGCTGTCGGAAAAGGCGGATACGGAGGTGGGTTGTACTGTCCGGGACCGGGAGCCTGGCCAGTTTGACGGCCTGTGTATGGCTGAGAAGACATCCAATGGTCAAGCCAATTCCAAGCCCACTGGTTTCTCTCAGGCCCATTTGTATCGTCATTATTTGTGTGTTGCATTTGGCGCTTCAATATGAAAACCAAATCATTATAAGAGATGTTTAACTAAGGACCTTTATAATGCATATCTTTTAACAAAATAAGGGAAATAGAATAGAGTGGCTACCAACCTGGTAAGTGTATGCATAAGCAAGAGCCCTCTCTCGTTTCATCATTCCTTCACTCTTCTCTTTTTCCTGTAAATGCAAAACATATAGATCAGCTAAAACGATTCCAATAGTGGTCTTGGTACGTCCGTACGTGAGACATTTCCTCATTACCTTTCCTGGAGTTTGGTACAAGCTGGTTCGGTTCACTTGGTGCAATTTCTTCGGTTTCTCTTGTTCGGTTTGGTGATTCACAAACCCTGTTTAAACCATATAAATTAGTATGATCACCAACAATATTAGGTGGTTTGATCATATGTACTGGAATCATTTGAATATGTACCGTTTTTTGGTTTTGCCATCCCGGACCGCTTCTCTTCTTCCTCAAATTGTTTCTTAAACCGGTCATGAGCCACTTGGAGCCTTCTCGCTCTGACTCGGCCTTGGACGCGGACCAAAGCTTGCATACATTTCATAGTCATTTGCGCCTGTTTCCGTACATGGTTACCACGGACCAATGCTTGTAGCCTAACTAGTCCTTTCAAGGCACGAAGTGCTCGTCTCGCCTACAATAAAGAAAAAATAAAAACCTCATAAGTTTACAATGGAAAACAAAACTATGTTGTTCAATAAATCGTAAATGCAAAACACCATTACTACCTAATTAATCAAAGTGTACTCAAATGAATTTATACATTTTAAGCAAAATGCATTTTGAGTCATTTTCAAAAGTAAAAATTGAAAGATGGGAACTTACCAAATAACCTCTGTAGTGTGATTGAATGAGCACGGCGGCGCTATCTTCCTCCGTCTGGCGGTTGTAACCGGCAAGCCGAACAACTTTAGCGGCAGCTTGTGCAGCTGCAACAGCAGCTTCAGCGGCAGCTGCAGTAGCCATAGCCACAGCCATAGCGTGTTTTCTATCTCCAACATTAGTTGCTGGAGTAGAAGCTGTGCTCTCAACGTCATGAGAGATCTCCGGCGAGCTTTCCGCCGGAAAATTTTCAAACGACACGACTTCTTGCGTATCGTGTTGCTGCTGCCATCTATCGGCGTTATTACTACCAACGTTGTTCTCTCTCTGCATGCATTTAAATTAAAGTGTGACATAATAATGATAGTAATCATTTGAAAACTTTTCTAATAATATGCTTATGATTACTAAAACTACTAGTCTACTACTATTTGGTTGTGTACATTACCACTATAGTAATGTAAGAATCAATGAGTACTTGAGGTTGAGATCGATCCAATGTATAAAGTAAAAAATGATAAAGACTGTGGGGCTAAAACTTTGAATAGTGGTAAAAGAAGAACATATACTATATAGTAATGTGAAGATATATATCTATATAAAGATACAAGTTGACATAAATTTGATTTATCTATAGGTGGGGAAATAAATAGGGTGGAGTGATGGTGAGGGCACAAAGCTATGCACATGAATTTTGGGAGATTGAAGAAAGAAAAAGAAAAAAAAAAGATTTTATTTACGAGTCATGAAAGATCATATCTAAATGTTCTTACAAGGAGCCTTCGTGGTCTATCTCTTTCACAAGGGGACCAATCTTTTTCAGCTTTTAATTAACAAAATACGTACAGGGTAGTCTAAACACATTTACTTGGTTACTCAACTTGTCACAATGTCATTCATTTATAAGATGAAAAATATCGTACTATAATTTAATTTGCTTTTCCCTTTTAAGCTACAATACACGTAAATACAATTTTACCAAAATTCATAAAATATGTACAAAAATAAGAGAATTTATAGTGTTCATTGCAACAAATATGGTGTATGTAATTAATATAGAAATTGCTTTTTAATCAAGAAGAAAAAGACATTAAAACCAAATTTGCTTATTAATGAAGAAGTAGTTATGCGGTCGTATTAATTAGTTATATCTTATCATTCAAGTTATGTGTTGTTTAAAAGTCCTAATATTACTTAAACATGATATAATTATGATTAGTTCTCTCTTTCTCAATGCTATAACCTATAACAATGGTTTTTAATTATGAGGATCACATCCTCTTCATACTTCTAAATTGCCCACTAAATAATGTCCCAACTATGATGATTTTGAGAAAAAAACAAAAACTAAAGGAGTGATGAGTAGAACCTTTGAATCTTTAGGAGAGGATTTGAAGACTTTCTTCTTCACCGTGGAGAACCATCCACCACTCCCTTTCTTCCCCATTATTTCCGGCAAAACTCTTTGATCATAAGCTCTCTCTATATATTACTTCTGAACAATTAGTGAAAAATATACATAATTATGTTTTAAAGATTCCCAAAAAAAGAGTTGAAAATACTGCAATATAGCCAAACCAACTCAGAAGTACTATAGCCAAACCCAAAATGTATAACAATGTAATATAATTTACCTTAACATGCATAAAAGTTAGAGATATATGCGAAATTAGGAACTTACAAGTTTGTGCAATGTGATGATCAAACCATTAGAAGCAATTCTTGAAGTTTAGAGAGAGAGAGAGAGAGAGAGAGAGAGAGAGAGAGATACAAGAAGAGGTGGGAGAGAGACAAGAAGAGGTGAGAGAGAGATAGAGAGAGAAGAGAAGTCACAGAGAGAGAGAGAGACTTAAGTTGAGACGTGAGAAAGGAGGAGAGGAGATGTCTCAACTCGTTTTACCACCGATAATGAGAGAAAAATCATAAACGGAGTCACGTGTGGTTCGGTTAAAACGCCGTTAAGTGTTTTTACGAAGTTCACGAGGTTTCTTCTAACTCTTGTCTTTTCTCATTTTAAGGCCAATCAAATCCCATTTCTTTCACTTTGTATTTAATAAGTCTTCTGACATTTGTAATGATCGAATTTTTGTATTTACATATTTGTTTTATATATATATATAAACGATTTGACTTTTTCTTACATTTTGTGAACTTGTAGACCTTTATATCTAGAATTTCTTACTAAATTACATATTTCTGATAATTAAGATGTATATTTCGGAGTTGTAGTAATCGGAGAATTTTACAAAGTTGAAACCGAGACATATAAATTTAGTACATATAATGAACTAATTATTTTGATCAAAATTCAGTTTTGAATAATATTCTAATTTGTTTGTCGGTGAGAATAAAGTTTGATTATTGCTATGATGTTCTAATTTAGTAATTACTGAATTATTCTTTTTGTTAAATATTTCCCGACTGTTATGATATTATCCGTTAGTACGTATTATACTGATCTCAAAAATAAATATTGATCTTATACATATATATGCATTATTACATGAGGTGGTGATTTAAAATGATTAACATTTGTGAAGTAACATGATTAGTCTAGATTTATCGAAACAAATTATTTATCTTAAAAATATTTTAAAATTATAAACTTTGAATATATTAAAATATCAAATGAATTCAAAAAAAAATATATATCGAATAGAGAGGGCTCATATGATAGATCCATCGGATTTTGGATGGGTTTGTGAAAAACAAAATGACAAAAGATAAATGTGTATATAGGTCTACGACAGCAACAACAAAGTCTTTTCATTACTTACTTCATTCAGAGTTAGAAGATGCATTTATCTAAACAATGAAAGATCATATCATAGTAAGACACCAAAAGAGCATCTGAACAAAATTACTAATAAGTTTTTCTTGTAATTATGTTATATTCTATCATTTCTAATACTGTTTTATTCCTCGTATTACAATAGTTTGGTCGACTGTTTTAGTTAGAAGCTTATATTTTTGAGCCGACTAGTTAAATTCCTACCTTTTAGAAAATTGGCCAAAAAAAATGACACCTCGAATTATTGTTTTTTTAAAAAAATACTAAAAAAAAAACAGAATTTTTTTTTTTTTTTTTTTTTTTTTTTTGTCGTCAACTAAAACAGAATTAAAAAGAAAGAAAACAAAAAATGACAATGTGCAGTTGTTTTAATAACGGCGACCTAACTTTATTTATGAGGACCCAAAGACCTACACCACCTTCATATTGGACCACCTTTCGATTTCACTACTCATTTTTGAGTTTCAGAGTCTCTCATACATGATTACATATCCCAATCCCACACGACCACCTAAACCATTTTTATATGCTATATGTATTTTATTTTGGTTTTACAAAGTAATAACATTTGACTTTGAATCCTTGGCAAAAAACCAAAAATAAAAAAGATAACAAAGAGACAATACGATTAGGAAAATAGATGAGAGAGCCTCATCATCGTATCCATGGTTTTCATCAAATTGCGGAATTGTTTGCGTTTTTGTCTCACAGTGATTATGTTTCCTGTTTATGCTTTAGCTACTAAACCATTTTTTAAACATCAAATATTCGTAAATCAAAGCTTAGCATTCCTTATAAATGTTGTAACATAATGTGTATATATACCATTTGTAGGAGAAAAAACATAAATAACATAAGAAAGTCAAATATACAACATGCGAAAAGTCAGGCTTAGAAGGAAGTATGAAGCACAAAGCCCACTCGTTTGGATTATTTACAGTTTCCCCGAAGCTTATTGGGCCTTTCGTTTTTTGTCAACACTGTCTTCATAATAAAAACCAAAATATATTTCGCAGAAAGATGAACATATTTGGCAAAAAAGTGATTTATTTATTAATTAATTACGTCATAACAATTGTCTGTGTTTTTTCTTCAGAAGAAGGAAGACTCATCAGACTCAGAGAGACTGGAGAAGAAGCCGAAGCAGAGAGAGAGAGAGAGAGAGAGAGAGAGGGAAAGAGAGATTCTTCGGTGAAAACATTGAAGCTGTGGAGAAATGTATCCGAATGGTCAACAGGTTAGTCGAAGAATCTTTCCTTAATTACTGAGATTACTCGTAAAAATGTGGACTTTTTAAGTTTATAATCTCTCTTTACGCGATCAAGTCTCTCTGAGGTTTCTGGGAATCTGGAGAGTGGAGCTTAAAGACTCTTACTTTCTTGTTTATTCATGTGTCTACTCTCGAAAATTTCGTTTCTTTTTTTATTGCATGCGGACCACATTGGATTGAGTTTTGAGGGTTTTTAACTTTTTCAGATTTTTTTACGGAATTTCAGAGTTTAGGGTTTATGAAAGAGTGGTTTTTGTATCCAATTTGTAGATTTCGTTTCAGACCCCTCCGTCGAATGTTCGAAATCCATCACCGATGATGGGTTTGGAGCAATCTTCACCAATTCCAAGAGATGAAACTCAAAATGGAGGAGGAGGAGGAGGAGGAGGCATTGCTCAAGCTGAGTTTGCTATGTTCAATTCCAAGAGGCTTCAGTCTGATCTTGAAGTCATGGGTAACAAAATCAAACAGCATGAGGATAACCTAAAGTTTCTCAAGGCACAGAAAAACAAATTGGATGAAGCAATCGTTGACTTGCAAGGTCTGAGATTTATTGTTTCTTGCATATAGCCACATTTCAGCTGAGATTTTCTTGTGAATTACAATGTCGTTGTTTCATTTTCTTTTGCAGTTCATATGAGTAAGCTTCATTCGTCTCCTACTCCTAGAATTGAAACCTCTGATGCCAATCTTCAGGGTGAAGATATTAATGAACAGATCCTTCGCTACAAAAACTCAGCTGCTGGAGTTTTAAGTCTGCTTGAGACTCGTCATGGAGCTCAGGGTTCTCAGTGGATGCTGACGAAAGGTATTGTTGGTGTTGTAGCAAAACTTGGGAAGGTCAATGATGAGAACCTTAGCCAGTAAGTTCCATTTCTCATTGCCTCTTTTTCATATTACCTTCAAATTCTGAGTGTCACATATTTTATTACAAACCTTTCTTGCTATGTTTTTTTTTTCCTAATCTGAAAACTGACTGATTCCTCTCGTGGTATTTTGAAAATGCAGGACTTTGTCGAATTATTTAGGGAGTCGCTCAATGTTGGCAGTTGTATGCAAGAATCACGACAGTGTTGTGGCTTTAGAGCCTTATGACAACCAAGGCAGCATTGATAGAACTGCTGGTCTTCACGGACTTGCCGCTTCGATTGACTGGACGATTAAAGACAATTTTGATGCCATCTGCCTTGAAAACCTGAAGTACTATTTCTGTTTAAATCATTTTGATGGATTACAAATTTTATTAGATGCACTTCCTTTTTTGGTCAACGATTAGATACACCTTCCATCTGCAATTTTTTCTAATAATTTCATCTGATAACTATTAGGCCGTATGTTGGTCAGCACATAGCTGATGATCCGCAAAGAAGGCTTGATCTTCTGAAACCAAAATTGCCTAATGGTGAGTGTCCTCCTGGGTTTCTCGGATTTGCAGTGAATATGATACAAATCGATCCAGCTTACTTGCTCTGTGTCACATCATATGGATATGGTCTTCGTGAGACCTTGTTCTACAGTCTATTCTCCCGTCTTCAAGTTTACAAAAAAAGGGACGATATGATTAGCGCCCTCCCATGCATAACTGATGGTGCAATATCTTTGGATGGAGGTATCATCAGGAAACCGGGGATCATCAATCTTGGAAACCGGTAACATTCTCACAATTTTATAAGCCGAAAACTTAGTCCCCTCTTTGGATTCTTATCTTTTCTTCTTGATTTTCACTTTTCTAAACCCAATGCAATTTTCAGTGATGAGGTGAACGTGAGATTTGCAAAGCCAATTGCTTCGCGCACAATGGACAACTATAGTGAGACAGAAAAGAAAATGAAAGAGCTGAAATGGAAGAAGGAAAAAATGCTGGAGGACATGAAGCGAGAGCAAGTACTCCGTGAGCATGCTGTCTTCAACTTTGGCAAGAAGAAAGAAGAGTTTGTTCGATGCTTGGCTCAGAGTTCATCCACTAATTAGGTAGTAAGACTAATTCTCATGTCTTTTCTGACTCTTCTATCATGGTTAAGATGTTTCAACCAAGTCCAAACTTTGATAAGTGCATTGAAGCAAATCATGGAAATTGTCGATATGATAATATCTTTGTTTCGGTTTTAGTTCAAAAATTCAAAGATCCCTACCTGAAAGGTTTCTATGGCTAATACTAATGATCTGTTTATGTGTTGTGTTGCCCCAGCAATTGAACACACCCAACTAAAAAGAGAGCAAGCAAAGAAGCATGGAACTCTGAGTAACAGTGACCCTTGCTTCCTAAAGGAATCCTTTCTGAAAGAAGCAAATCCTTTTTGACTATAAAAACTTGTTTCCAGCTTAGATTTTGATATGGAAAACATCTAGATCAGATGATAGATTTAAATAAATTTCCTGGAATGGTGGTAGATCGGCTCGGTTTAGAACGGATAGCTTTGCTACTGTGTTTCTAGTCTTTAGTTGTTTCGGTTTTGACTTGACCGTGTACATAATCTTCTAGGCTTTCTAATCAGTTGATATGTTTTTTACCGGTACCGCAATTTGGAACTCAATGTTTCGTAAACATTTCGTTCACTAATTTACTTTTAAATTGTCAGAAATGGTTACGCAATTTCAATCTCTTGTTGCATATAATATATGTAACAGATTATGATAAAGAATAGTATACACAGACCATACGTGAAACCAATTTTGCTACGATACATGTTAAATTGAAAGCAGTAGCAAACTTGATAAAAGATTTTGCCAAAACCTACATTATAGCAAAAAGACAAATAATAGCTTATGCTTATTGTCCCAACCAGATCCCTAATTACATAAAGTTAAATAAAAGGAAGATAAAAGTAGAGACTAGAATAAGTATTAAAAGACCATCAGCAGGACGGCAGATCCTAACCGCTGGCTCCACCTGCTTCTACTCCTTGAGCCATCTCCACAATATCGGCTTCTTCAACACTACCATTGTCATTTTCCCATTGCAGCTTTGCCGTTTCTTTCTTTTCTTCCACTGCTTCTGGAGCAAGTTCTTCCACTTCTTTTGGAGCAAGTTCTTCCACTTCTTTTCGAGCAAGTTCTTCCACTGCTCTTGGACCAATAATAGAAGATATGTTAATTTGTTGATTCTTCTTCTTTTCTTCTGCTTCTTCTAACGCTTTCGCCTTTGCCTCTGCTTTCAGTCTCTCTTTCTCTTCCATCAGCTTCTCTAGATCTCCCTCTCTTCCTCCTTTCCTCAGCTCTTCTTTCACAAACTCTTGCATTTCCTCACTCACTCTGACAGTGTCATCATCTAGCATCTCATCCACAATCTTGAGCATCTCATCGAGTCTACCAGCTTCACTTAACACCCTCATGATGAATTTGTAAGCCTCATCGTCCATCTTGAGTTTGCTCACCATCATATCGAAGAAGAATTTTGCATCGTCGAGTTTCTCAGCTTTAACCAATTGATCTTGCAATCGGTTATACACATCCAAGTTTGGTCTTAGATTAGACTCAACCATTGTTTTGTAATACGCAGCTCCTTCATCTATCTTACCTTCCTTGAAACAAGTATCCATTAACAACCCATATGTGTACTCATCAGGCTTCACCTTTTTCTCATCCATATCACTATAAAGCTTCTCAGCCTCAGCCATCAATCCGTTGTCGCACAGCTGATTCATCAGATTGTTAAACGATAAAGTATCGGGACTACACTTAGAATCACCCATTTGCCTGAAAACATCCACAGCTTCCCCAAACTTTCCTTCTGCACAGTACCCATTAACCATCACATTAAACGTTCCCAAATTTACAGCCAAACGCCTCGGTGGATCATGTTCCTTTTTCACCGCATCAAACAACTTCAAGGCCTCATCAAACTTCCCGTTCTCACTCAAAGCCTCCAGTACATAGTTATACGCCATAGCGCTCATCCTTACCTTTGAATTCTCTCCAATAGCTTCCTCATAACACTCCATGGCTTCTTTTTCCATCTCCTTCATGAAATACCCCTTCATCAATTGCCCATAAATCACACCATTGTCAACAAACCCACCAAGCTTCTCCTTCAACTCCTCATACAGCTTTAACACACCATCAGCATCAGAATTCTTCACACACCCCATCATAAGATAACTATAAACAACAGGGTCTGCCACAAAACCTCTAACACCCATATCGTCCTTAATCTCAATTGCTTTCTCAAGATTATCATTATTAACTAAACCCTTAACTAAAATCCTAAACGTGGCAATGGAAGGATTCAACGGAGCATTATCCATAAACAACTTGTAATGCTCCAACGCAATTTCGGGTTTCCTAACATCAAGATAAGCCTGGAAAATCAAATTGTATGTGACGATATTAGGTGCAATACCAGCTTGATTAATGAATCCATGCAATTGCAGAAGCGCTCCATACTTAGCTTGTCGAAGCTGCGCCGCTAAAACAGAGTTCACAGTGAAAATCGTCGGCCGGCAATTCGAATACACTGAGTGACGAGTATACAGAGCAGCTTCTTCCAGATCATTCTCTCTGATCAATTTCAGTATATGATTATGTAGATCGAGGCGTTTCCCAACGAGAGCAGCCACAGAATCAGGCAATTTGGGGATATTTGGGTTCTGAATTGGTCTAGAGATTTGAGATTGCTGATTCTGCTGCTGCTGAGATCTGTTGAATGAGTTAACCGGTGGCTCCATACGAAGACGACGCTTACGACGGCGACGTTCAGCAGCGGCTTCTTCTTGCGTCGCGAATGACATGAATCGGACGGCGAGAAATGGCTGCGGCGGGACACGGGGACGGTAGGATCTCGCCAGTGTTTGAAGGTGGTTCAAAAAGGCGGCTTTGGCGATCGACATGGTTGAATTTTTTGAGATTTCTCAGTGTGATTGGGAAAAATGAGTGGAAATGAGAGAAGTAAAGGGTTCTTGTTAGGGTTTTAGGACTTTTGGGGTTTGGTTGGAGACGATGAGGTTTAGGGATTGTTTGGGAACGAGGATATGTATGTTTTGGTGTGGCCATTTCATATATGGGCTCTTTTGGGCCTTAAGCTCGAGTTTTTTGAATTTCATGATGTAAAACTGTAGATGGTAAAAACATGCAAGGTGAAATTTTTAGCAACTGTGACAAATTATTTTTAACATTATAAATGGTGATATTTTTGTGAAATAAAAAAAAAAACATTTGCTATAAATTAGTTATGGACTTATATCATGGATATAATTTGACCTTAGGAGTTTCAAATTGCTGACGTGAAGCAAAAAAACCACTAGATTACATAACTTAGCTACACTTGTGTCATCAAATTTCTTATGTATATGTTGTTTTCTCAATGATATTTAGTATAACGTAAGAAAACAAGTAATTAGGAAAGTGACGAAATTGGTGTTTTTGGTATTATTGGATATTGAAAATTAAGTGGTCAGAGAACATGGAACACGACTAGAGAACATAAGTTCCCAAAATCATAAGACCCCACAGTCAGTGTCGGTCATCGGCCGTGACCTATTCGGTTCCTCTTTCAGTCTCTCTCACAACCACATCAGCACCGACACATCCAAATTTCATAGCTTATTTGTTTTTTTATTATGTTTTTAAGAGCAATAAAGTATTACAAAATGTTTGAATACAAATAATTTCGTGTTTAATAGTCTTTTCGAAACCCATTTAGTCGGTCGTCGAAGAAAATTATGTCGATGGACTTTTTAGCTCTCGTTTTGTCACACACATAAACAAAAGAAAACATTAAAGTAAAACTATTAATTTTCTTTTCGTTTTAATGACAATAATATAAACTTTATATTTCTAATCAAAATGAATGTAATTACTTCAGTATTCACACCGATCGAGTTAGATTTATTGATAGTGCCAAGAAACATAATGGAAAACTATCCTCGAGTAGATCTTATTGAAATAATACCTCTTGAGAAATACATTTAAAAGTTAAAAGATGTTTATATATATTTATAGGATTAATGATATGTCCATTAATATAGGGACCAGTAAGAATGAAACAATTCATCGGAAAAACATAAGCATTTCAGTTTTTTTTTTTTTTCTCTACCTATATGCTTAATCCGGCCAAGAACGAAACTCCGGTCGAAGGCAACCACGACGAACCGTATATAAACTCTGCCACCGTGAACCGGTTCGCCTCGGCCGTTGAGTTAATGACCCGATAGCCAGGCCACTTTACACGTTGTCCGAGACCTGACCCAGGTCCACTGTTCAAATACTCTCCGTAATACAACGTATCTAAAGCAAACGTTGTGTTCCACTCGAGCCAACCTCTCGTGTGTACATGACCACCGATGTACGTCATCATATACACTGTCCTAGAGAATAACTTCCACGGTCGGCCTAGATACGTTTGGATGCTACCGTTTGTCGTTTGGAGATCTGATGTTGCCAAAACCCTCGACGCATGTATCGATATTCCAGTGTTTTGGTTCGGGTCTTTTCTGTTTTGAGCCGTGATTGTGTTTTTCTGAAGATCCATTGGTTTACGTGCGTAGATGCTACAGTTTTGTAGCACTACGGCTGCGTTACCGAAGATAAAATCGACTGTACCGTAGATATCGCATTCGCGGAAGAATTGACGGTTCGAATGGACGTAAAGTGTGTCTTGGTAACCTATTATATTGCATCGGTAGATCACAGCGTGGTCAGCTCCAACACGGAGAGCCACGGCTTGGTGCTTCGCTGGACCGGCCCAATTCTCGAATGTGATGTCCCTTGCAATAAATCCAGCTCCGGTCGCGGCTGGAAGAAAAAAACAAAACAAGAAATAACACAATTATGTTTTGTCTTTTACATAACTCTTTAAAATAAAATAAAGCAACATAACTTAACTCATCATCAATGAAGCAATACATTAATCTAGAGGTGGAGTACTCAGTAAAAGTATTTAAAACTATTGATCGACAACATCTGGTAACATGTAGAATATTTATATTCTTTAATTTGTTTCACATAAGATAAAGCAAATAAAGTTAATATTATCAATGTAGTACATGTTTAAGGACTAAATATGGATGCAACAAATGCAGTGAGACGAAACTAATTCAACTAGATTTATATATAATTAAAGCAAAAACTAGTATGCGAGAAAATGTCGTTACCTAGAAATGTAGTATGCAAACAAACAACTACTGAGTTGAGTGGTCTCTCAAACGCGTTCAACTAAAATAATGAGCGATGACCCACCTCCAACTATATATGCAAAATAAATGCTACGCTTCTCTGTCTCCCATCATGCATGTTTATATATATACAATTATGTGTGGTCAGCAATTGCGCAGCCTAGCTCTAGCTACTTTGAACCTTACGATACGCTCATATTCTTCTTTTTTTGTGTATGCACAAATTTGCATATCTGTATTTTCATATGTGCGTGTCTCTATGTTATATGTGGAGTATGCATTTATTCATGAACGTAAGTGGATGTGTGTATTTAGGAATGGATATAAGATGAAACGTAAAGTATTTTATGAAAAGAATGTTCTATGTTTTGGGTTTGAATTGAGCTGTGTGAGCATTGAATGAACATAAAGACCCACAACAACATGCATGTGAGTTTTAGTTGGATAAGCGGCAG